CCCACCCTTTCCTCTTTGCTGTGCTCTTTTCTCAAGCAGCTCTCTCTGGTGTTAACGGAAAAATCCAAGGGCTCCCTTGGACAAAAAGCAAAGACACCAACCAGGACAATTGGAGCAAAACAGCATCAAGTAGGCTTGGTCTTTATTGAGACTGTTGCGACAGGACTCCAACGCACTACAGGATGAAGCAAGATGGAAGCCCTGAACAAAAGAAGACCCCAACTTTTATCAGCTACTAATCCCCATGCTACACCCCTAAGACTACATCACAACTACATCATGACTACATCATTGACACATCACAAAGAGGAGGGGTTCAGGGAGGAGTTGTGGTGGTAACCTGAGTGTCTTGTCACCTGTCCAGTTCCTCCTTTCCCCCTCCCCATGATTACATTCCTGAGGACAAAGAGGAGTTCACTGTTTCCTGCCCCCAGAGGGAAGGGCTGGTCACTGTCCTTTGTTTCAGCCCTTACTGAATCCACTTCCATATGCATGTCCTTTATGAGTGTAATGATCTTCTGTCTAGGACCATCAAGGTTGGCATGCCAACTGGGTAGGGCTCAATGAGGACGTATTGGTACGCTTGGGGAATTATGGCTGTCTTGTGTCAAGTCTCCCTCCTTTGATAGCCCTTCCTTCATGGTGTAAAATAAAAGTGGAACGGTACAGATCTGATGTACGGCTGATTTTCTATGAATTTATAACAGAAGCGTCACGTGTGTCGTGTGTGAGAGTGTGTGTGTCGTGTTTGTACAAACTGAATGATTGGGGGGTGGGGTGGGTTCCTGCAACACTGGCATATCCAAAATCTCACGCTGCTACAACACAGCAACTCAGTAAACTCTCCCCTCTCCATGTCCAGTCCATCCACCACACTCCCCATTCAACCCACTAACTCTATTGAGGTGCCAGTTCCCAAATGTGCTGAGGGGTCTCAGCATTAAAAGAGCCCAAACACTGGTGCCAGGGTACATGTGAGAAATTTAGGCTGGGCGCTTAGTAAATCTGGGTTGGATTTTAACAGACCGAGAGGAATAAAGTGGGACCTGTTGGTTTTCCAGTTTGAACTTGGGCAATTAAATCAGTAATTTCATTTCCAGGTGGAAAAATCAAAATTAGAAACAGAATTGTTAGACTCCAAAATTAAGAATTTGTCAAAAATGTATAACTTGCTGCTGAAATGGAATACTCAGGATGAAACGGTGAAATCAGCAATGATTAAATGGGCACAAGATGTTGGACATAACATAATGATGGCTGACTGGGAACAGTTATGGACCACAGGTATGAAATTTACGGCATGTAATGCTCTAAGAGAAAACTTAATGAAAATGATTTATAGGTGGTACATGACACCAGTCAAGCTTGCAAAAATCTACCATTTGCCCGATAATAAATGTTGGAAATGTAACGAGACTGAAGGCACATTCTTTCACCTTTGGTGGACATGCCCAAGGATTAAGACATTCTGGGAGATGATTTATAACGAAATGAAAAAGGTATTTAAATATACCTTTCTGAAGAAACCAGAGGCCTTTCTCCTGGGCACGGTCAGCCAATTGGTGCCAAAGAAGGATAGAACTTTTTTTATGTATGCTACAACAGCAGCAAGAATACTCATCGCGAAGTATTGGAAGACACAAGATTTACCCACCCGGGAAGAATGGCAGATGAAGTTGATGGACTATATGGAATTGGCGGAAATGACTGGCAGAATCCGAGACCAGGGAGAAGAGTCGGTGGAAGAAGATTGGAAAAAATTTAAAGATTATTTACAGAAATATTGTAAAATTAATGAATGTTAGAAAAATGTTGGAATGAAGTTACATGGCTTTAGTAGAAATGTTATAAGGAATTAAGTATAAATAGATTAATAGAGTATTAAAGGAAAAAATAAGGTTAGAATGAGGTAAAATAATTATAAGATAGAAAACAGAGGTAGATGGAAAGGAATTGCTGAAACAATTAACAGAAGTGGAATACAAAGAGGGAGGTGTGAGGAGGTCGAGGAAATAAGTGAATGAAAGATGGGATAATGAAATTTGATTTATTTTATTGTTGTTGCATTGTTTTGTTAGTTTAATGTATTGTATTGTATGTGTTTTTTCTTTTCTTTTAGTGTTTAAATTTTTTGGAAAAGTAATAAATATTATTTAAAAAAAATAAATAAATCAGTAATTTCATCAGCAGGTACTGGTTACCACTCTGGGGTGTTAATAGATCAATTGAGTGTTAATAAGTGAAAAACATGGCTGGCACCACTCAGGTATTTACCCCTAAGATTCCTATTCGTACCAAGGGGTGGTGATCTCAGTTCTGATGGGGTGAAAAGTGAAGAGGTAAGGCTCCCATTCCCAAGCACTGCTTTCACCAAAAAACAAACAAAAACAAACCAGCCAGTAATTTTTTTAAAGACATTTCACTAATGGCTAGTTTGGCTCCCCTTAGATCGTAGATTTGTTTTTGAAACATGGTGCATCACATTGTCAAATCTCATGGGCTTTTTACCAACTGCAGGCCGCTGGATCCATCCCCAAGAAAATCCAGTTGCAAGAAAGTTGGAACAGGTGTGTTATGTACTGAGTTGAATAGGATCCAAAAGGCAGCAGTCTGATTGGTCCTAGAACAATAGGATTCAGAATGCAGCAGTCTGATTGGTCCTAGAACAATAGGGTCCAGAATGCAGCAGTCTGATTGGTCCTAGAACAATAGGGTCCAGAATGCAGCAGTCTGATTGATCCACAGGAGCCACCCAATCCAGCTCCAGGTGGAAGGGAATCCGCAACCTGATTGGCCTACAGGTGAATCCCGGAATTAGCCAATCATGTGGGGCCCATTGTGTAAATAATGTATATAAAGCAGACATTCTGGGGGAACTTCCATTCCTCCTCACCACTATGAGCTGAACAAAGAGCATGAAATCCACTCTCGACTCCGAGTATATTTCAAGGTGATATGGGAAGTTGTTCAGGTTTTTGTCATCCATGCACTTCAGATTGCCAAGATGCTTTCAGTCATTGCAGCTGCCACACCATTCCCAAAATAAACCCGTCCAATGCTCTGCTCAAGAACATCTCACACACTGTGTTGTGGTGAAGATATAAGTTTGATCAGGACTTCTTAACTGAGAAAGCTCCTGTCTATTAAACCAGTTTGTATTCAGTGCAATACGTCCTTTATCATTCAGGGTACTGCAGGAGTTAATTCTGGACCTTCCTATGTGAAAAGTTTTGACTACCTGCTTTCAGTTCTGGGCATCAAAGACCTGTCGGATTAACCTTTGTTCATCTGGTAAGGTTTATGTGAAATCAAATAGCATCGCTACCACCCTCTCCATCAGTTCCTACATTATTCCCCTGAACATGTCAGGGGAATGTCCTGTCCAATTCTCACATTTCTCTCTTTCCATTTAATACCTCTATTCAAAACAAATCTTATTTAAGCTTCTTTTCCTTTACTCCATGCAGAAGACTGCTGAATCTGGAAGGGAGAAGACCAGGTAGGTGTCAATGGGACAACATTGATCTGATTTATCATTATTATCATCATGACGACAATTTATTACTTAGGCACTCAGAATATTTTTTTTAAAATAATAATAACTATGAAACACCAGACATTAAAAGCTCCCCATGAGGTCCTAACAGATGCTGTAAGACATGCTTGCTTTATTTCCTGTCGTATTGATAATAACTCCTATTTAGCCAGTTTCCTAATCTTGCATGGGCACCATGAAAGATTGGGTTATCGTCTTCTTAGCAGAATAATGCCTGCAAATTCAACCCAGCATTTCTCATGCACATGATTACGTTCACCTGGCAACATACATCGGTATCCTGGCTACATAAAAACAGCTCCTGAAACTGGAACGGTCGCGACAGCCCACACGCCTCTGCACCTGTGAGTTTGGGAGGGAAAGAGGTAACTATGGATGCTGATCGATGCAAACCACTGAAGGTGGTCTGAGAGTTGCTACCAGTGTAGAATGTTGTGGCTCACTTCTTGATGGGGACACGTTGTCAGAAGGATTTCCAGCTCAGCTCAGCTCAGTTTCTGATTAGCATCAGAGCCCATTTCAAAGTGCTGGGAATGAACCTCAAAACCATACATGAAAGGCTGAAGCCTTGGGGGGCCTCTCTTCCCATCTGTGCTTCCCCCTTCCCTGAGATCCACAGGGAAAAGCTTTCTTGTATGTCCCATGATGCTGAAAATGTGAGGATGCAGTTACTGCGGTAACACCTGTGACTGCATTAGTTTGTTCATATCATAAAGCAAAATAGCCGCTGCTCTTCATCTCCTTCCTTAGATTTTTATCTGGTTACATTTTTGTTTCAACTGCCAATTTGTGTTTATGGGTTTTTGGTTGTTTAATGGTGGATTGAATAGCTGTTTGCTCAGGGGCCTGAAATCACTCTCCCCCTTCACTAAAAATTGCCAAAATTTAAATGTTGGTGGTTTCTGGGCCACCCATATACAGTCATACCTCGGGTTGAATATGCTTCATGTTGAGTGCATTCAACTTGCGCTCTGCAGCAACCCGGAAGTAATGTAGCGCGTTACTTCCGGGCTTCGCCGCTCGCGCATGCGCAGGTGCTCAAAATGACATCATGCGCATGCGCAGAAGTGGCGAAAAGCGACGTGTGCGTGCGCAGATGTGCCGTCGCTAGTTACGTTTGCTTCTAGATGCAAACGGGGCTCCAGAACGGATCCCATTCGCATCCCGAGGTACCACTGTATATATTAAGATGGGTGAAATATGCATTGGTTTTAGTTGTGCAGAATAGGTGAAAAAATGACCCTTCTGCCTTTTTTCATTTTAGCGTCTTCTTCAACAACAGCAGCATTCCTGTTAGAGACTTTATAAACGTTAAACACCTTTGGTCAAAAGTGAAGGAGAGTATGAGACAGAAGGTTTCTCCAGAGAAGTGAAATAGTGAATAACGCTCCACTGTTGGGGAATTATTGAAGAAGACAACGTGGCTATGCAAAAAAAGCACATCATGACCTCCATCTCAGCAAGAGCGGTTGTAACCCATCTGGTAATACTTCAGGTCACCCTAGTAGGAAACGTCTTCTGTGGGAATGTGCTTATTTGGCCAACAGAAGCCAGCCATTGGCTCAACGTTAAGGTCATTATTCAAGAACTGCTGCACAGAGGTCACAATGTCAGCATCCTAGTTCCTACAGGTGCCATCTCCATCAAACCCAGCGATGATGTATCAGGTGCCACATTTGAGGTTTACCCTGTGCCCTTCGTAACGAGCGACTACGAAGCCCTTATCAGGGACATCATAATGTTGTGGTTCAACCATATGCCCACCACGCTGACCTTCCACAGGTTCTACCAAGAGCTGGGGAAACTGATGGAGAAAGCAGTCGTGCTCAACAGGCAAATGTGCGAAGGGGTGTTGGCCAACCAGGAACTGATGGCCCGGCTGACAAAGAGCCGATACGACGTACTCCTTGTGGACCCTGTGACAATCTGTGGTGACCTGATTGCTGTGAAATTGGACGTCCCATTTGTATACACCCTGCGCTTCACTCCGGCCTCAACGGTGGAGAGACACTGTGGGAAAATACCCTCCCCTCCTTCGTACGCTCCTGCTACTCTGTCTGAGCTCACGGACAGATTGTCGTTTGGGGAAAGGGTGAAAAATTTGATATCTTACCACCTGCAGGATTATGTTTTCCAGACCTACTGGGGAGAATGGGACTCTTATTACAGTCAGGTTTTAGGTAAGCCTGTTTTTGTTTCTCCTCCTCCTCCTCCTCCTCAAAGCAGTATTATTTGGAAGAGCAGCTGCTCCGAAAATGCAGAGGGTTTTTGGAGCAGTCCTTGGCATAGCCAATAAAAAGGGGGACCCAGGTTGCAGGACTGGAAAGGCCTCATCCTGAGGCTTCGTGGAGCCACTATCTTTTTTTTTTTTTAATGATATTTATTAAAGTTTCACAGAAAAGGAATCACATTAATAAAAAAGAAAAATTTGAGAATAAAAAAAAGAAATACACAATGCAAAATACAAAAAGAAAAAAGAAAAAACAGTTAAAAACAATTCCGTCTTTTCAACACTTCTTTTACATTTACTTGCTTCCGGAACCTCCTCATACCTCCCTCTTTTGTATTCCAATTCAGTTTGTTAGTCCAGCAATTTCTTTCCCTCCTTTTTAATCCCAATCCTTAATCTTAATATATTATAACATTAAGTTTTTACCTATTAAAAACCAATTTCTCCATTCTTTTAACCTTTTAAATCCTAATCCTTAATCTTGATTATTTATAACTTTAAAGCCTGTACAGCTAGAAGCCACTATCAGTTGGAGGTAGACGCTACCAAGCCAGGTAGTCTGGCCAACTGTAATGGAAGGAGTAGCAGATCTCGCCTACTTTGCTCTTTTATTGCTTCACTGAGTTGCTCTGCCTTCTGTTCTACTTCTGTTCCTCCTTAATACCTTAGGAGGGATTCCAGATATTGCAACACCTCAAACAGGGCTTGATCCCCACAGCAGTGCTGCATTGGAGTCAAAGGGATCTCTCCCAGCCAGCCTTCAGACAGAGGCGTAGGAAGGTCAGGTGGTACTCGGTGTGGATAATTTACTGTTGTCCCCCCATTGATTTTTTTATTATTATCATTTGCCTGCAAAAATGGTTTTACGTTATTTCATATTTTCATACAAAGGAATGTGGATTCTGGGCCTCTGACAACAAGTAGGCGACTGTGAACAGATACTTAAATCTACAGGATGGATTGTGTTTTGGCTTGTGCTATTTTAATTATATTTATTGTTTATTTAATAAAATTTATTTTTAAAAACCTGCAAAGTGGTTTGCCAAAACAAAATAAACCTATCAGTTAATATCTTGACTCTGCTCCACTGAACTGAAATTTCAGCCTTCAAGACATAGGAAAACAGCCAAGTAAACATATATAGCTATATAATCCCTAGTGTAGTAAGATAAGACCTTTGGAGCAGACATTTTCAAAAAAGTTTGTTATGAACCGCCCTAGTAGGGCAGTAATTGTTCCTTGATAATTTGTCAACCCCCCTCCATGATGGCACTGGGGCGACCCGCCCCCCTTCCTACGCCCCTGCCTTCAGAGAGCCTTCCCAAGATGGAGCCCAGTCTTTGATCTTTCCCCTTCTTCTTCTTTTTCCCAGCACACCTCGCTAAAGCCACCCTTTTCCTGTCACCCCACACCCTACCTTCCAAATCCCTTGTCTCTATACAGTATATATCTTTTCAAATTCCGCAGCAACCCTCACTCCACCTAAGGTAAAGGTAAAGGGACCCCTGACCATTAGGTCCAGTCGTGGCCGACTCTGGGGTTGCGGCGCTCATCTCTCTTTACTGGCCGAGGGAGCCGGCGTACACCTTCTGGGTCATGTGGCCAGCATGACTAAGCCGCTTCTGGCGAACCAGAGCAGTGCACGGAAACTCCGTTTACCTTCCCGCCGGAGTGGTACCTATTTATCTACTTGCACTCTGACGTGCTTTCGAACTGCTAGGTTGGCAGGAGCAGGGACCAAGCAACGGGAGCTCACCCCGTCGTGGGGATTCGAACCACCTACCTTCTGATCGGCAAGTCCTAGGCTCTGTGGTTTAACCCACAGCGCCACCTGCGTCCCCTTCACTCCACCTACCTGATCATAAACCCCCTTGAATCCAGCAGAGCTTACTTCTGAGCAGACATGTTTAAGATTGCACTGTTGCTTTGCTTACAAGGGGCTCAAAGAGCCCAATGTGTGAAGAATAGCTCTAGAGTGCAGAGTGGGGTGGATCTGTGGAGTCCATAAGTTGCTGGATTGCAAGTCGCATCATGTGCCAGCATGCCCAGTAGTCAGTGATGATAGGAGTTGCAAGTCAGCAACTTCTGGAAGACCATCCTTCCCTCACCCCAACCCTAGAAGCTGCAGATTCCTCATAGCTCTGCTGGAGTTCCCTACTTCCCTTGACGTCCTTCCTGATATCTTAGGTGGTGCCAGGAGTTGTTGCCAGCAGCTGATCAAGAAGATGTGCAGATTATTATTATTAATAATAATAATTTTTATTTATACCCCACCCTCCCCAGCCAAGGCCGGGCTCAGGGCGGCTAACAAGCAATAATAAAAACAAGTTGAATGAATACAACTTAAAAACAAGATTAAAATACAACATTAAAATATTGAAACCTCGTCGCAGGAGGAGAAAGGAAAAGAAAAAGGAAAGAGGGGGAGGGAATCAAATTGGCTCCAAGCCAAAGGCCAGGAGGAACAACTCCGTCTTACAGGCCCTGCGGAAAGAAATCAGATCCTGCAGGGCCCTGGTCTCATGAGGCAGAGTGTTCCACCAGGCCGGAGCCAGTGTTGAAAAGGCCCTGGCTCTGGTTGAAGCTAATCTAACTTTCTATTAAAACTAGAAATCACACACACATGTTTCAGGGCCTTTTCTCCTTGATCATAAAGGTTAGGAAAGAAGGGGGAGGGAGTTAGGACACTAAACATAACCATGATGGCATGCTCACATGATGATTCCTCAGAGTCACTTTTTGGGGGACACCCCATAGGCCAGTTTAAGAGGATATATGTCCCTCCTGTCTTAACTCAGTTAAGTCTTAACTTAACTTTTTTTTGTATTTTGTGGGGTGGGCGTTTGTAGATTATTATTTCCACCTCCCCAACAATGTGAGGGTAGATGCGCATGTTCTGGTTCTTATACAAAACCAACAGACTGGAGTGGCATTTATTTCCTTGCCAAGGCTACTCAGTTTGCTTCATGTGTGAATGAGGATTTGGAACCGAGACGAGGTCAACACTTTATCCATTCAGCATCTGTCAGGGAAATTCTTTTGCCAGATCTCAACACCTTGGCTTCATTTCTTCTTTGCAAATCTGCAACAATAGAGGGAGGACTAAATGAAAATGCCCCTAAACTGTATGTTCTATTATGTTCTGAACACACTTCATATGGCAGACTTACCTAACAGCTTTTTTTTTAAAAAAAAAGGGAATAAAAGACAGTATGAGCCATCTCGATATCTCAGCAGGTACAAAGATTTCTTTGTGCCTGGAGATTTGCTTACATCACAACCCCCTTGACCCCCATGCTTTCTGGTAATTAGATTATTTTTACAAATAGCCGAAGCTCAGGTTCCGTAAGCAAAATACACACAGAGGAATTTGACACTGCAGTTCACATGCAGGCTTTGTTTCAAATGGTCTGGTGTTTACTTGATCTGCTTTGCAGTGGGGACAACGGTTTATATAACCATTCCTGATGGCTTGTGAACAGGCCTCCAAAAAGTTGGGTGTGTGTATCTTGGGCTCCATCCTGCACTTTGCAGGGTCTCTTCAACTCCCATTGGCTCCTGTGCAAACCTGAGGATTGTTATCTTATCAGCAGAATTAATTCCTGTTGCAGTTGGCATACGTTGTATGGCCCCGTGACCCCACATTCCCTGAGCTTCTTATCACTATTCTGCTGCAGTCAGCTATTTATTTTCCAGTTCTAACAACACAGTGATGGAATGAAAAAAGAGATGATACAATCATCCCGCTGCTGTGATCAGTGGTGCAGCGGGGGCCTGACCCAACCCACAGAGCTGTCTCCCACGAACAGCGGATGTTGAGATAGCATGGACATGCCAGGACCTCTCCTAAGCTGACCATTGTGATAGGAATGTGCAATTTTTGTTTACAACACCATGGTTGCTCAGAGGTGGATATGGGGCTGGGTGAGGAGCCTCAGGAGCACTGCAGGGGGCGCTACAACTATGACGTAAAATTGTGTATCATTTCCCAAAAGCCTGTTGCTTTTTTACAAGTCTACCACGTATGAAAAAAATAACCCTTTGGACTGTTTGCATTTCCAACATTTACTTGATACAGTCTTGTACATCTCAGCCAGTTTATTAGGTGTTAAATACCATCTGTATATCATTTCCAAATAGTTTTCCTTTAATGTGTAACAGGCAGTAAATTTCATATCTACTTGCCACAACTTTCCCCTTGCCGCCATGTCAATATTACGTCCTAAATATTGCGGTTTCTCCACTCCTGAGTTACAGGCAAACAATTTCATATGCTTTGAGCTCTAGGTGTGAATATTATGGGCCATATGGAGAGTTCAGCTGAAGCCATTGGATGACTCATTCAGAGTTATTCCTGGAGAAATAAACAAACTTGTCCACTGAGCAGAGAACCTGTTTTGTTACTTGCTGTAGGAGGAGTCCGGATTTCGAAAGAACTATGCTATGTTATCCCCAGCAGGATTTTCCTGCGGCAGAGAACCTTTCTTGGAAAGTCTCTGTGCCAAAGAACGGCAAAGTTTAAGCAGGGTGGAGAGCAGTGAAATTCAGGAGTACTCTGAACAAGCCCAGCCTGTCACAGTAACCTTTGATCACCCTGAATCTAGTGGAGGAAAGCCAGGACACAATGGCAGCAAAATGGCTGCTGGTGTTTTCCGTGGTTTGGGTGTTCTTTTGGGGCTCAGCCTCAGGTGGGAATGTCCTCATCTGGCCGGCAGACGACAGCCACTGGATCAATTTGAAATTCATCATGAATGAGCTCACAGCCAGAGGCCACCGAGTGACTGTGCTCCTGCCTTCATTCTTCCGGATAATTGACCCCAGTGAACCTTCCCCTTTCCCGATAGAAGTGATATCTGCTCCGTTTTCAAAGGCAGAGATGGAAGATCTCCTGCAGGACTACATACATCTATGCACTTATGGGATCCGAGAACTTTCTTCCTGGGAATTTTTCAGCAAGTTGAATGCCTTAGTAACACACGTGATGGGTCGATACAAAACTGTCTGTCATATAGCTGTGACAAATGAGAAACTGCTGGAGAAGATGGAATCAGCTGGTTTCGACGTTCTGCTTGCAGATCCACTCATTCCTTGTGCAGAACTGTTGGCTCAGAAGCTCCGGATACCATTTATATACACCTATCGATTCTCTTTTGGAAACACAGTGGAGCGTCTATGTGGATGTATGCCAGCTCCTCCATCCTATGTGCCTGCTAGCACAGGGGAACTAACAGACAGGATGTCGTTCACAGAGCGGGTCCGAAACATGATCTTTTACCTCTTCCAAGATTTCTTATTCCAGCACGTTCAATATAAAGGCTGGGATGAGTTCTATAGTGATGTTCTAGGTAAGAGCTCGCTCCTCGTTCGGGTCATTGTATTTTTGACATCAACATCAAAAAGTGTTGTTTCACATACACATTTCTGTGCTGTGGTTTTCCTCTTTTTTGCCTGGTCCATCACCCAGTCCAGCTCCAGTATTGAGGTGGGAGATGGCAGGGAAAGCAGAATTTAGCAACTGAGCATGGGGTATGAAGCTCATGCAAGAGAAAGAGGTGTTTCAGCTCCCCTTACCTGTACATCTCTTTCTGATGCTACGATTGAACTCTGCCTCCCCACTTTGTAGAAGAACAGTGCAGAAATGTAAGTAGTTATTTTTTGCTAATTTGTGGATATATCACACTAAAATGCAAGCAGAGATGCACATTGTTACCATATTTCATATAACGTCTGCTTATATTTCCTGTATCCGTTGCCCACGTTTTGGGCTACAATTTAAAAACAAGTATTTTATGCCTTGCTTGAGCCAAAAACTACATGATGAAATTCTGAGAGGTGTGATATCTGACTCTAGCTGTTCTGTTCCATTCTGTGCAGTGGTTTGTGAAAGTGTGAATTGGTTTGGTCCACATGGACCAAATGAGACTGTCAAGCAGCCCCACCTGCTTGTGTCACCCCCTACAGCGATCCTGCCTAGCTCATAGCTGTCAACATTCCCTTTTTTTGTGGGAAATTCCCTTATTCCAGTGCCGTTTCCCGCTGCTTCCTGCTGCTATCCCGGATTGTTAGATATCCCATAGACTGTCCCCGGGACAGGTGAGGCTGCTGATTCCTTATTTTTGAGGCTGCTGATCCCTTATTTTCAAATCTGAAAGTTGACAGCTATGGCCTAGCTGCTGGCTGGATCCACAAAGCACTCTGATGGGGTGAGGGGGCATGGTGGACTGGTGAAGTTGGGACCATATTCAGTGGTCTGATGAGGCACAGGAGGTGGAGCGTATAGAACGCAGGAGGTGGTGCTGCGGACAGGAGGAGGAAAGACACCTAGCCTGAGTTGGAAGCTGCTAGGCTCAGGACAAGGTAGAAAGAGGCGTGCTCTTATGAGCCAGCCAGGATTTCCCTGTACTTGACAGCCCAGCAGTGAGCAACCTCCCACTGCCTGAGGACCTGCTCATCTTTACAGGTCCAGGGGGGCAGCCTGCCACTGCTGCTTCCTTCTCTCGCAGAGGCATCACCCCAGGTGAGGGAGGCTTAGGTTCTCTGAGAGCAGGAGTGAATCCTTACCCTTGACATTTCTTCACCTAAGATTACCCCTAGCCCTAGCTCTTAAGGAGTTCAGCCCTGAGTGCTCTCTGGAAGGACAGATCCTGAAGCTGAGACTCCAATACTTTGACCACCTCCTGAGAAGAGAAGACTCCCTGGAAAAGATCCTGATGTTGGGGAAGATTGAGGGCACAAGGAGAAGGGGACAACAGAGGATGAGGTGGTTTGACAGTGTTCTCAAAGCTACCAGCATGAGTTTGACCAAACTGCGGGAGGCAGTGGAAGACAGGAGTGCCTGGCGTGCTCTGGTCCATGGGGTCACGAAGAGTTGGACATGGCTAAATGACTAAACAACAACAACAACCCCTAGCCCTATTGATGTAACTAACTGGAGACAATACAAGACTTGCCTTGTGAAACCGACTACCCACATAATCTTGTTCCTTGCACAGCATCCCTTAGCAGTTGACACTGATTCATTTAACCACTAGCACCACAGAGAATGCATCCTCATCTGCTGCACGAAACTGCAGGAGATGTCATCTTGGCCAATAGCCATCTTTACTCTGTCTTGGCATGCATCTCCCCACCTGTGTATGCTAGAAACACTCTCTATGTGTCTAATTGTAGGCTTTAGAGGTCATCAGAGCCACTGGGAATGGCCCTAGCACCTCAGCAGCAAAGGATATTGGGTTGCCAGAGATTTTTAGACCTAGCCCAACTCAGAGTAGACCTATTGAGCTTAATGGACATGACGGACTACCTTAGATTCTTTAATATCAGTGAGTCTGCTCTGGCAGGACTTTGTTAAATATCAACTATTTTCTTTGAAAACGGCAGGTACCTTTGCATTTGAGGCTGATGTTTACGGTAGGTGTGGACTTTGGTCTTTCAAATTTCAGCGGCGGCCTGCGAGAGGCCAAAATCCATCACAACCTCCAACCTTCCATCTGCATGTGCACTACGCCATAGCTGCAAAGCCCTGCGATGCCCCCTGTGGCATGGTGACCAGTGCTGGGAAACTGGTCACGCTGCCCTCAATCTGCCACTGTTCACAGTTGACCAGAAGAAACTATGGTCCCACAAGCAAAAAAAGTTTCTCCAATCCTGTGCTTATAGGAAAACCATTTCATTTGCTTCAAGTTTTGTGCGAGAATATTATGGACCACATAGAGAGGTTAAGGTAAAGGACCCCTGACCATTAGGTCCAGTCGTGGCCAACTCTGGGGTTGCGGTGCTCATCTCGCTGTACTGGCCGAGGGAGCCGGCGTACAGCTTCCAGGTCATGTGGACAGCATGACTAAGCCACTTCTGGTGAACCAGAGCAGTGCACGGAAACGCTGCTTACCTTCCTGCCGGAGTGATACCTATTTATCTACTTGCACTTTGACGTGCTTTTGAACTGCTAGGTTGGCAGGAGCAGGGACCGAGCAACAGGAGCTCACCCTGTCAGGGGGATTCGAACCGCCAACCTTCTGATCATCAAGTCCTAGGCTCTGTGGTTTAACCCACAGCGCCACCCGCGTCCCCATAGAGAGGTTACCTGAGAGTAATTCCTAGTAAGACAAACCAAAGTGTATATTGAACAGAGAGGTTGTTTCGTAACTAGGCGGAGTAACAATCACGAACCCACGTTTCGACAGGATCATGCTGTGTAACAGGATTGTGCTGTAGCAGAAAACCACCTTTGCTTTGACGAACTCTGTGCCAAAGTACAGCAAAGGTGAAACAGGGAGGAGAGGCACTGCATAAACCCAAGCCTGTCACAACCACCTTGGAGCTCTCTGAATCAAGCGTGGGAAAGCCAGGACGCAATGGCTGCAAAATGGCTGCTGGTGTTTTCCGTGGTTTGGGTGTTCTTTTGGGGCTCAGCCTCCAGTGGGAATGTCCTCATCTGGCCGGCAGACGACAGCCACTGGATCAATATGGAATTCATCACGAATGAGCTCACAGCCAGAGGCCACCGAGTGACTGTGCTCCTGCCTTCATTCTTCCGGATAATTGACCCCAGTGAACCTTCTCCTTTCCAGATAGAAGTGATATCCGCTCCATTCTCAAGGGCAGAGATGGAAGATCTGCTGCAGAACTTAGTATATTTTATGACGTATGATGTTCATGAACTATCTTACTGGGAGTTTTTCAACAAGTTGTCTGACATCATAACTGTGACAATGCATCGGCAGAAAACTTTCTGTCAGATGGCTGTGACGAATGAGAAACTGCTGGAGAAGATGGAATCAGCTGGATTTGATGTTCTCCTTGCAGACCCACTCTATCCTTGTGCAGAACTGTTGGCTCAGAAACTTCGGATTCCATTTATATACACCTATCGATTCTCTGTGGCAAACACAGTGGAGCGTCTTTGTGGAGGATTGCCAGCCCCTCCATCCTATGTGCCTGCAAGCATGAAGGCGCTAACAGACAGGATGTCCTTCATGGAGCGACTCCAAAACATGCTCTTCTACATCTCAAATGATTTCCTCTACCATCAAGTTCTCTATAAAGACTGGCATCAGTTCTATAGCGATGTTCTAGGTAAGATCCTGCTCCGAGTTTCGGTTACTGTATTTTTGACATCCGCACCTGTAAGTTCTGATGCATGGAGACATGTCTGTTGTATTGCTTTGCTCTCTATTTTGCCTGGTCCTTCACCCAGTCTAGCTCCAGTACTGGAGTGGAAGGGGGAGATCGAATGGGGATGGAATGGGGAACAACATGATGGTGTTAGGCTTGCCTTCCTGGGCAGGTAAAGGTAAAGGGACCCCTGACCATTAGGTCCAGTCGTGACCGACTCTTGGGTTGCGGCGCTCATCTCGCCTTATTGGCCGAGGGAGCCGGTGTACAGCTTCCGCGTCATGTGGCCAGCATGACTAAGCCGCTTCTGGCGAACCAGAGCAGAACACGGAAACGCCGTTCACCTTCCCGCCGGAGTGGTACCTATTTATCTACTTGCACTTTGATGTGCTTTTGAACTGCTAGGTTGGCAGGAGCAGGGACCGAGCAACGGGAGCTCACCCTGTCACGGGGATTCGAACCGCCAACCTTCTGATTGTCAAGTCCTAGGCTCTGTGGTTTAACCCACAGCGCTACTTTCTGGGCAGAGCATTCCACAATTACTGCTCCCCACATTAAAGGGGGGCGCCGTTTGCATGGTCGCGCGCAGCCCCCTGGACCCTATGTGGCACCATTGGCACAGGCTTGGCTTCGCCTCCCCCCAGGTGGGATACCTGGATGTCTCCGCCTACCTCAGCCAGTTGCCCAATCCCGCCTGGGGAGGCGTTGCCAAGGTGATCGAGCCAGGTAGGGGGAGGGACTACCTGCCCACACAATAGGGGGAGGACCTTACCTGGGAATCGTCAGTTGGCTCCAGATCTTCTCCCACCCTACCCACCCTCAGTTAAGACTTCTTTTGCAGATTAACCTTTTCTCCGCTGGTACGCGGGCGCTGCTATGTCAAGGTCGCTGTTGAAGGGCCAGAAAGGAATTCTCTTGCATTGGCAGGTTTGCCTTTCCCGTAGCAAAACGTCACAACTTTGGCGGTATCAGGCCTTGGGTGGAATCCTTTAGTCTATCTTCCCTGATATATTTAGCTGTGTCTTATTGTATCGGTTCAGTTTTAAATATTGTTCCCCACTCTGAGACTGCCCGCAGCAGTGCAGCAATGGGACCGCCTCTCCTGGTCTGCCCCACAGAGGACCTTAAGGTCCATGAATAATCATAGTTTAGAGGTCCCGGGCCCCAAGGAAGTCGGATTATCCTCCACCAGGGCCAGGGCCTTCTCAGTGATGGCTCCGACCTGGTGGAATGCTCTGTCCCATGAGACCAGGGCCCTGCAGGATTTAACTTCCTTCCGCAGGGCCTGTAAGACAGAGCTATTCCGCCTGGCTTTCAATTTGAACTTAGCCTGATCTTTTATTCCCCTTCCTTCCCTCCCCCTCCCCTTTTTATGAAGATTACCCTCTCTGGGATCCCACAGCTAATTCTCCCCTGGTCTCCTCGCTGGCCCAAATAGGACTAATTTAGCCAGCTAGCCCTGGTGATCATCTAATGTTTATTGGATGGATTTCCCCCCAAAGTGATTTTTGAATTCTGAATTTTATTGTTGTTCACGTTTTATACTGTATATGCTGTTTTTTGTTGCATCAATTAAGCATTTTAAATTTGTTGTTAGCTGCCCAGAGCTCGGTTTTCTGAACCGGGAAGGGCGGGGTATAAATAAAAAATTATTATTATTATTTATTAATGAAGAGCAGGTGATAAATGTTTTAAATGGATGAACAAATCCCACAATGCCATGCAGGTAATCTTATCATTTCATAGAATCTTAAGAGTTGGAAGGGACCCTAAGAATCATCTGGGCCAATCCCCTGCCATTCAGGAATCTTTTGCCCATCATGGAGCTTGAACCCAGAACCCTGAGATGAAGACTCTCATGCTCTACCAGCTGACCTATCACAATTAACTCAATCAGTTATGGAGTTTCCATTCCATTTCCTGCCTTTTGTGAATGGCAGCCTAGTTTCAGAAACGAGCTGTATATTACATGAAGAATCTAGTAGAGGGAGTGACTTGACGTTATCTTTTTGAATAGCCTATACAGTGGTACCTCGGGTTACATACGCTTCAGGTTACATATGCTTCAGGATGAGAACAGAAATTGTGCTCTGGCAGCGCGGCAGCAGCAGGAGGCCCCATTAGCTAAAGTGGTGCTTCAGGTTAAGAACAGTTTCAGGATAAGAACGGACCTCCAGAACGAATTAAGTACTTAACCCTAGGTACCACTGTACAGTGGAACCTCAGAAGTCAAATGCCTTTAAACTCAAACGTTTTGGCTCCTGAACGATCGAAAACCGAAAGTGATTGTTCCGATTTTCAAACGTTTTTCGGAAGCCAAATGTCCAGTGTGGCTTCCATGGCTCCTGCGGCCAATCGGAAGCCGTGCCTTGGTTCTGGAACCATTTCGGGAGTCGAATGGCCTCCCGGAATGGATTAAATTCGAGAACCAAGGTACTGTATTGAAGCAGTCCATTCCGGGATTTGTTACATGCCATTGATACTCGCCACATAAAGGATCTTTGCTCCGCTTAGGGCTGGGCAAATTGACTCATTATTTAATTGTGCAATCATCAGCTTGGGGTCATTGTACCTCTGCTGGGGAAACGTTTCTGTTTGCCGCTATGCAGGGGAAGAAGCTTCTCATCCTATTCTGGCTACAGGTGTGCTGTTGGGGCACCAGTTCTGGTGGGAAAGTTCTTGTCTGGCCCACAGATGGCAGCCACTGGCTTAACATAAAGATGATGCTCAATGAACTGGCCTTGAGGGGCCACTCAGTGACGGTGTTGATACCCTCAGCCTCTTACTTGATCGATCCGAAAGAGGCATCATCTTCCTCTTACCACATTGAGGTCCTGCCCGTGACCTTCACCAAAGAGGAGGTGTCAGCTGCTCTGGAGAAATTCCTGGATGTAGCGACGTACGAGTTGCCCACGCTCCCCTTTTGGAAAGCTATGCAGAAGATGAGAGAATTAGTTGCTTCCTTCGAAGAAGTGTCCAAACAGGTCTGCGACAGCATTTTCCACAATGAGACGCGGGTAGCGAGGCTGAGGGAGGAGGACTTTAGTGTCCTCATCTCAGACCCACTGACACCTTGCGGTGACCTGCTGGCCGAGTTGCTTGGAATCCCCTTTCTGTACACTTTGCGGTTCTCAGATGGCAACAGCATGGAGAGACTCTGTGGACAACTCCCAGCTCCTCCTTCCTACGTCGGTGCCAGCACTGGAGCGATGAGTGACAGGATGAGCTTTGTTGAGAGGATGAAAAATTTCCTCTTCTATGCTTTCAATGATGGATTTTTCCTGTATTCCTTGGCAAGTGAGTGGGATCGATATTACAGCGAGATTTTAGGTAAGTGTACCTAAAACTTTACGGAACGCGGGTGGCGCTGTGGGTTAAACCACAGAGCCTAGGACTTGCCAATCAGAAGGTCGGCTGTTCAAATCCCCGCGACTGGGTGAGCTCCCGTTGCTCGGTCCCTGCTCCTGCCAACCTAGCAGTTCGAAAGCACGTCAAAGTGCAAGTAGATAAATAGGTACCGCTCCGGCGGGAAGGTAAACGGCGTTTCCATGCGCTGCTCTGGTTCTCCAGGAGTGGCTTAGTCATGCTGGCCACATGACCTGGAAGCTGTACGCCAGCTCCCTCGGCCAATAAAGCGAGATGAGCGCTGCAACCCCAGAGTTGGTCACGACTGGACCTAATGGTCAGGGGTCCCTTTACCTTTACCTTAGGCAAACTTTAGGGTTTTTGTTCTTCAGAGGTGCCAGGGTTTTATTTATCCAAAGTTACAGTCAGATGCTCTGGGGCAGGCTGTGGCTCAGTGGCAGAACATCAGGTTTGCATGCAGAAAGTTCTCAGCATCTCCAGGTAGCTGTGAGAGAGACCCCTGGACAGCCCTTGCCAGTCAGTGTGGACAGAATTGAGTTAGATGGACCAAGGCAGTATAAGGCAGCTTCCTATCTTCTGTTGCTTCCACCCCAAAAAGTTGAAAATGTTATCATCTTTGGCCAACAGGGTCTGCTGTTGTTTGCTGTTGATTTGTGGGGCTTTGAAGTACGCGGAAAAAGATTACAAAACCTGTTTGACCATAGATGATAACGGGACAGAGAAATATGCATGGCATGAGCAACGGTGGCTCATCTCATTTTACTTTAAACAAGCCAGGAGTCATAAAACCAGTAACAAGCAGCAGTTTGAGGCTGGCTTGTGATCCCAGTAGCACTGAGCCATCCCCTTCCGGGTTTGTTTACTTGCTGGCAGCAGCAGGGGAGGAGCCAAGTGGCAGCAAGTGGGCTGTGCACCCACCATAGTTCTGGTTTCCTGTTAATGTGATAAAGTGGAAGCTGAGGCTGGTGTCACGGACTGGCTGGATGCAGAGTAGTGGGAGGCACCAGCTGGGGAACCCCCAAAGGAAGAAGGCTCAGAGCCCAGGGGGTGGGATGGGAAGACAGTGAGTGGTTAGAGGGAGAAGAAGGAGCAGACCGGGAGGAGGTGGTGTTGGAAGCTGAAGAGACAACAGGGTTTAGTGAGCAGGAAGAGGCTGTGGAAGAGAGCAGTTCAGACACAGAGGCAGAAGTGGAGGCTGGAGAAGAGGAGGACCATGAAGCAGAGATGAGGGAGGCTGCTGAAGAAACCAGGAGGTCTCCCCCTCCTGCTGTGACCAGCTCCCCTCCCGCCTGGTCACCCAGAACCAGAAGAAGTATGAAGAGGATGGGGCAAAGATAAGCATGCCAGTGGATTCTCAGATTGCTTGGAAAGTACTCAGGGGAGGAGGAGACTTAGGGAGCTGTTGGGAAGGTGGGGACACACAGAAAGGAACGGCCTCACAGGGGCAAGATCTACCGGGAAGAGTTGCTGTGCTCAGTAGGCCTGGCCTCCTGAGCCAACCATGATTCCTTGAATAAAGAGTTAACTTTACTGATGCCGTCTGATTTACTGCCGACCGGCTCCTGACACCTGCCAACCGAGATACTGGACTCTTGAGGGGTGCATTTTTAAAAGTGTAACCAAAGAGATACGAAGGCTAACTCAGCCCTCCTCAATGAACAACCAGATGTTTGGAGGTGGTACAGTATATATCCCTGACCACCAGGTGCTGGGAAAGGAGAGAGGGAAGCAGAGAGGTATTGCCTTCAAGCCTAGCTTGGAAACTTGCTAGAAGCAGATCTGCCCAACCACTGCTGCAAACACCAGGCTGGGCTAAATGGACTTCGGTCTGATCCTGCATTGCTCCTCTTTTGCTTTCATCGTAAGTACAGGAGGGCACTGGGAATGTTTTTGGCAGCGGAAGAATGGGAGAAATATGACAGAATTGGGGCAGTGGAAGACAACAATTATGTGAGATATATAGGAATGACTTGTGAGCAGAAAGTGATCCTTCCTGAAAAATAAACGTTGTGTTTCCTTTTCAATACAGTGGTAATTACCCTGAGGTACCACTGTATTAGGTGTTTCTTATTCCTCCCTTTTCTTAAAAAAAATATTCAAGATGGTTCATTCCAAACTCTTTCCTAGTGGGTCACTGAGAATTTGCCCATAAGGTCTCAAAAACCCTGAGAAATGAAGCTTCAGCCAGCCTCCCTCAGCCTGGTTCCCTCCAGAGGTTTTGGACTACAATTCCCATCAGCCCCAGTCAGTGCAGACATTCTGGTCGAGGCTGATGGACTCTGTAGTCCAAAACTTCAGGAAGGAGCCAAGTTGGGGAAAGCTGATCTAAGCAGATTGGAAACAAGAGTGATGTGCCTTCAGCCATCAACACTGATTTTGAAGCAGTGGGTTCTTTCAGCTATTACGCAACCGTGAGCTTGGGTGTGCCTCTGAAAGAGTATCCACCAAGGAGCCAAAGCCAATCCTAAGAAGCAAGCATGTGCAGTACATCCATTTCTGCAAGCTCAGTCCCCTGTTGTGGTTCACATTTATTGTCTTCTTTTTTCAGGTGCACCGTACACAGCTGAAATGTAATGTCTGAACCACAGTATTTCTGGAAGCAAGTTTGCCAAAGCTGTTGAATCTGGGAAGAAGAGTCGAGCTGAATTTAACCCCCTTCCTTTATCTCACTCAACAGGGAGACCCACAACATTATGTGAAGTGATGGGGAAAGCAGAGATCTGGTTGATTCGCACCTACTGGGACTTTGAATTCCCGCGGCCTTTCCTACCCAATTTTGAGTTTGTGGGGGGTCTGCACTGCCAGCCAGCCAAGCCTTTGCCAGAGGTAATTCCCTCCTTTGCCCGTCAACTGGTCATGGTATTGGAGTTCTGAACACCCTCCAGAAACTGGGTTTTGCCCCTCAAGCCCTTCTAAGTCTGGGCTTGGGCCAGGCAAAAGCCACGGTCAGGCAAAGAATATTGGATACCGACAGACAACAGGACTGCGCAAGGTGCCCCGACTATAAAATTGGAGAAATTGAGAGATACATAGCCGCACCGGCAGCATATCTCTCCTTTCTCGTATCTAGAAATGCAATAAGGGCCTTTACACTTGCCAGAAGTGTGGCTCTTCCCTCGCCGGTCCTGGATGGAGCCTTTAGAAAAGTCCCCTATGCCCAGAGACTTTGCACCTGTCCACTGGGAGAGATAGGAAGCCCAGAACACTTGTTCTTTAAATGTCCCTTTTACGAAGAGGCACGCAGTAAGTTCATTGATCCCCTACTGGTGAGGCTTGCTGACCTCCCACAAAAGCAAAAATTTGACCTTTTGCTGTTAGGCAAAGACCAGAAGGCGACCTGGATGGTCGCCAGATTCTGTGTACAAATCTGTAGACGCAGACCATCGCCCAACTCAAAATAGTCCGGCATGAATATCCCCAAACCCGGTTCCATGGGTGACTCTGAGTCAACTCCCTGGGATAGTTTATTGTTGCACACTGTGTCTAAATTTATTGTTGTACATTGTTTTAATTGTCTGCTTTAACCATATTTGCACATCAGTTTCTAATACTGTGAGTGTCCTCTATTTCAGAGGCTTCTACTCTGCAGCCTCTTACAGTTGTTTTAACTGAGAGTCTTTTAGTTCTTACGCTCTTACAGTTGTTTTAACTGAATGTTTTTATTTGTTTTTAGTTTTTATGTTTTAATTATCAGTTTTTATCCATCCATTATCCGTGTTTAATCTTGTATTTTATTCAGATGTTTTATCCTATGCTCGTTTCTTTGCCCTTATTTGCTCCAAAATAACTGGTCATGGGAATCGTGCCTAGTTCTCCTTCAAAATACCACCAGGAAAGGGGAGGACATGTGGTGGCAAGGACAAGTTGTTGTTGTTTAGTCGTTTTGTCGTGTCCGACTTATCAGGCACTCCTGTCTTCCACTGCCTCCCGCAGTTGGGTCAAACTCATGCTGGTAGCTTCGAAAAACACTGTCCAGCCATCTCGTCCTCTGTCGTCCCCTTCTCCTTGTGTCCTCCATCTTTCCCAGCATCAGGGTCTTTTCCAGGGAGTCTTCTCTTCTCATGAGGTGGCCAAAGCATTGGAGCCTCAGCTTCACGATCTGTCCTTCCAGTGAGCATTCAGGGCTAATTTCCTTAAGAATGGATGGGTTTGATCTTCTTGCAGTCCATGGGACTCTCAAGAGTCTCCTCCAGCACCATAATTCAAAAGCATCAATTCTTCGGCGATCAGCCTTCTTTATGGTCCAGCTCTCACTTCCATACATCACTACTGGGAAAACCATAGCTTGAACTATATGGACCTTTGTTGGCAAGGTGATGTCTCTGTTTTTTAAGATGCTGTCGAGGTTTGTCATTGCTTTTCTCCCAAGAAGCAGGCATCTTTTAATTTCGTGGCTGCTGTCACCATCTGCAGTGATCATGGAGCCCAAGAAAGTAAAATCTCTCACTGCCTCCATTTCTTCCCCTTAATTACGTATACGTGGAGGAGGATGGCTTTCTTTCATGGGCTTGCTCTGAATATCAGCTCCAAATCTGAGGTAGTTGGTGGTTTCACAGCATCCATATCTGACGGTTTATCAAGGGGCAAATTCAGGGGTGACATTCAGAGTGGAAGCCTGGAAGATGGACAGATCTGACACGGAGGACACATTCTATCTCAGGCTTCCTCAACCTCGGCCCTCCAGATGTTTTTGGCCTACAACTCCCATGATCCCTAGCTAGCAGGACCAGTGGTCAGGGATGCTGGGAATTGCAGTCTCAAAACATCTGGAGGGCTGAGGTTGAGGAAGCCACGGCTATCTTCTGTTCACCCCAGTGGAGCTTGTGCAGAGACATGGATTGTTTCCCATGTTTATGTGGGGATGGATTCTGGTCTGGGTTTCAATCCATTTCAGATTTCTCTAGAAGCGGCAAAGAGATTGCAGTTGGGGGCTGCAGATGATTAACCTGCCAGCATCACGTTCGCTTCCGAAAGTCGAGTGGGCAAATATGTCGGTCCCACTCAAGCCCCAGACATATTTAAGCGCAAGGTGGGGTGTAGCAAAAGGCTGGGAATAGGGCTCAGGAGCCATCAGAGTGCTAGGAGGGCCCTCAAGTCAGCAGCTCAGCAGCTAAAGAGAGCCAGTGTGGAGAGCCAGTGTGGTGTAGTGGTTAAGAGTGGTAGACTCGTAATCTGGTGAACCGGGTTCGCTTCCCCGCTCCTCCACATGTAGCTGCTGGGTGACCTTGGGCTAGTCACACTTCTCTGAAGTCTCTCAGCCCCACTCACCTCACAGAGTGTTTGTTGCGGGGGAGGAAGGGAAAGGAGAATGTTAGCTGCTTTGAGACTCCTTTGGGTAGTGATAAAGTGGGATATCAAATCCAAACTCCTCTTCTTCTTCTAAAGGGCCACCCTTACCACACAGCCCCAAGAAAGAGGCTTTAGACCATGGGCCAGGAATGGCTCTGTGAAACAACAGTCCATTGTAGGCAACTCCAGGAAAGACCTTAGTTATCATTTCCCCTTTAGGACTTTAGAACTGATAAAGTTAGACTAGGCCAGGTATTGATATTGATCTTGTTGTCATTATTATATTCAGGGCTAGCCAACCAGTTTACTTAATTCCCTCCCCAATCTCTCTCTCTCTCTCTCTCTCTCTCTCTCTCTCTCTCTCTCACACACACACACACACACACAAGGTAGATTAGATTCAACTTGTCAAATAAGGCAAGTTGACAAAGCAGAGTAAAACTATATATGAACTGCAATTCATAAAGCTATAAAATATGCTCCCAAGATTTAATACTTGACAACCGTAACAGGAAGGAGAAGCAGTTTTTGCCCTTGTTATCATCATAAATACCATAGGCTTAGTAGTACAAAAACACTTCATTAACTGAAACCTGATATTTATTATTATTAGTAGTAATAGTAGTATATCTCTCAAGGTAATTCTCAAAAACTGGAAGATGAATTTCATGTATCGCTGGGGGACACTGCCACCTTATGATGAATGATGGAATTCCACTGACGTTAAACAAAAATGTATCTTTCTCACAAATTAAATTCCTCACTACTGTTGTCTTCTGCATTTTAGTTATTTTCTCTCTCTCTCTCTCAGAAGTTGGGGACCTGTGGCCCTCCAGACGTTGGTGTGCTCCAAATGTTAGACACTCTCCTTTACTTAGAAGATCTCTCCCATTTCCCAGTCAGCACGGCCAATGTTATGGATGTTATTACAGCACAACTGATAAAATAAGCCAAGAAAAAATGGATTACCACAGCTAGTCATGTATGCATTTCAAGCAGCAGAGGGAACGTTACTTTTAATTGCTTTTGCCTTTTAATAGGAAATGGAAAAATTTGTCCAGAGTTCAGGAGAACATGGCATTGTGGTCTTCTCCCTGGGCTCAATGATTAAAAACTTAACAGAGGAAAAGGGGAACATGATCGCATTGGCCCTCAGCCAGCTTCCACAGAAGGTATGTTTTCTTGGATGCCTGCTTCATGCTGTTTGGTTATATATGTGTGTGTGTGTGTGTGTGTGTGTGTGTGTGTGTGTGTGTGTGTGTTGTATGCTGGACTTTGGAAAAGTGTCCACAATGCTTCAGTTGGGAAGAAAGTGAGAGAGGCTAGGGTGTTCCTACTACTGATAAAATACAGGGGTCAGCAAACTTTTTCAGCAAGGGGCCGGTCCACTGTCCCTCAGACCTTGTGGGGGGCCGGACTATATTTTGAAAAAAAAAAAATGAACAAATTCCTATGCACCACAAGTAACCCAGAGATGCATTTTAAATAAAAGGGCACATTCTACTCATGTAAAAACACGCTGATTCCTGGACCGTCTGCAGGCCGGATTTAGAAGGCGATTGGGACAGATCTGGCCCCCGGGCCTTAGGTTGCCTGCCCATGGATAAAAACATGCTTGCATATTGGGTGCGTGGGAAATGGCTGTCTCTGTAGAATTCAGCGGCCAGGTTGCTCACCAAGGCAAGATGGCTTGAGCTCACCAATCCTGGTCCAACTACATGAGCTGCCAGTTAGCTTCCAGGCCCAATTAAAAGTGTTGGGTTTTGACCTATAAAGCCTTAAACACCTCAAGACCACAATACTGAAAGAAGCGCCTCTCTCCATATGTACCAACCATCAGGGGTTGGCAAAGTTTTTGTGGCTTGGGCTGGTTCATGGTCCTGCAGATGCCATAGTGGGCTGGAGTGCGCGTGCATGCGCAAACACTATTTCCGGCGCGGAGGAGGCGTGCGCAGCTTCCCATTGGCTGCAGGAGGCTCCTGCAGCCAATGGGAAGCCGGCCAGCATCATGGAAGGTGGTCCCTGCTCTGCTCTGCGCCAGTTTAGCACAGTGCACGGTTGCCAACCCCTGAATGAGATCATCATCTGAGGCCATTCTCCATGCGTTCCCTCCATGAGAAGTTTGGAACGTGGCAAGATAAGAACAGGTCTCTTCTGTGGCGATGGATGCCCTTTAACCAACTGTGGCCTTTTAGAAATGGGTGAGATGATTTTAATGCTCTAGTTTTCTATGTGGGGTTCGTTTGTAGGTTGCTTTGGGTTGCCTTGGGCAAGATAAAATGACTAACAAATTTAATAAATAGTAGTTGTCATTATGGTCCCCTTATGTGATTTCAGTTTATGGTGATGTCCGAGAGGATATCATATGCAATTGCTATCTATGCTGCTATCAAATGTGGAATTTTAACCTTATTTTTGCATTTGACTTTTGTTTGTGATATTTTAAGGATGCTATACTTCTCTGAAATATGAAGCTGTTTATATATATTTGAAGTTATTTGTACACACACACATACACTTCCCTTTAACATAGTGGGTGAGAGGCAAAAGTTACTTTGCAAATGATGTACTAATTCTTCTGGGAAAAGATACATGGGAGTAAATGTCCATTGAATACTAATACAGTGGTACCTCGGGTTACAGACGCTTCAGGTTACAGACTCCACTAACCCAGAAGTAGTACCTCAGGTTAAGAAATTTGCTTCAGGATGAGAACAGAAATCGCGCGATGGCAGCAGGAGGCCCCATTAGGTAAAGTGGTGCTTCAGGTTAAGAACAGTTTCAGGTTAAGAACAGACCTCCGGAATGAATTAAGTACGTAACCAGAGGTACCACTGTATGGGACATAAAATAACATTGGAGAAAGTTTAGCTAAATAATATATAAGACATAATATAAATAAGTATACTCCTCACATGGGACGTGGGTGGCGCTGTGGGTAAAACCTCAGCGCCTAGGACTTGCCGATCGTATGGTCGGCGGTTCGAACCCCTGCAGCGGGGTGAGCTCCTGTCATTCGGTCCCAGCTCCTGCCCACCTAGCAGTTCGAAAGCACCCCTAAGTGCAAGTAGATAAATAGGTACCGCTTTATAGCGGGAAGGTAAATGACGTTTCCGTGCGCTGTGCTGGTGCTGGCTCACCAGAGCAGCTTCGTCACGCTGGCCACGTGACCCGGAAGTGTCTGCGGACAGCGCTGGCCCCCGGCCTCTTAAGTGAGATGAGCACGCAACCCCAGAGTCGGTCACGACTGGCCCGTACGGGCAGGGGTACCTTTACCTTTATACTCCTCACATTTTAAATAAACATCATTATGTCTAGGATGGGGTACAATCTCAACCAGGGCACTACATATTAATAGATCAATGAACAGAATAGAACTTAAGTCTTGTTGGCCATTTAAAATATTTGAGCTTTTCAAAAAGAAAACGGTTCTGTTTTTTGTGTAAAGACAAAAAACCCCCACAACTGCTGAAGAACTGGTTTTTATAGAGAGCATTTAAGCATATACTTAAGCAATGTGCTTAAAAAAATCTTCGGCTTTAGCTGTATTCATGCTCAATGTTTTAACTTTTAATCTTTTTCCTTCGTGTTGATAAAAGGTCAATATAACCTGTGGGCCAGCATCAAGCTTAATCATCTTTGCCATTATTCTTTCATTTCTCCCCGCCCACCCCCCAATCCCAGGTCCTGTGGCGCTACAAAGGAAAAAGGCCAGACACATTAGGAGCCAACACCAGACTTTATGACTGGATCCCACAAAACGACCTTCTTGGTAAGAGATCTTATGCTGCAAACATTGCCTTCATTGCTCCATTCTGACAATTGCTAGGAAATATATCCTCTGCATTTCCATGTTGGAAACTACACACGCAAAGCACTGTGGAACCCACAAAATGTATTTGAAAACCCGAGTTTCCAAGTATTCATAATTTGGGTGACTGCAAAATATGTGCATTTTAGAAAGCGCTATTTTGTGCTTGAGCGCTGAAAATTCTTGAAACACATTTTTGTGTGTGTGTGAATGGCAATATTGAGGGATTGTATGTCAACTGGACTAAGCCTGAATGCTGTAAACAATAATCAGTTGCAATAATCTGCTTTTATCAGATGGAGTCCAGATCTTAAAGCATTGTCATCTTTGGATAGCCCTGATGGTTAGAGAGTGGTGCTGGTTAACACCAAAGTTGAAGGTTTTAGCCTTGTATGGGACAGCTGCACAGGTCAAGACACTCATAACTTACAACATTAACTATATTGCTCTGTTTTCCTTTGAACCACATCTGTGAGGCCGAGCCCAGGACCTCCACACACACTGCCCAGGCTTGCACCCCAGAGAAGTCACTTCAGTGCTGCTAACGCAGACGTTGGAAGGCAGCAGTTACAAGTTACAGTAGTACCTCGGGTTACATACGCTTCAGGTTACAGACTCTGCTGACCCAGAAATAGTACCTCAGGTTAAGAACTTTGCTTCAGGATGAGAACAGAAATCGTGCTCCGGCGGTGTGGCAGCAGGAGGCCCCATTAGCTAAAGTGTTGCTTCAGGTTAAGAACAATTTCAGGTTAAGAACGGACCTCCAGAACAAATTAAGTACTTAACCTGAGGTACCACTGTACTGGTCTTCTACTGCGCTTTGACTTTACTCCCAGGGGTGCACTCCATTGTTTCTTGAGACAGACAGATGCCAACAAGTTACTATTCTGGTCTCATGTTATCAGCAGCTGGAGTTGTAATAGTTTGGAGGTCTCAGCAGGAATCAACTGACTACTAAAAGGTAAAGGCACCCCTGACCATTAGGTCCAGTCTTGGACTCCGGGGTTACATCTCGGTCTATAGGCCGAGGGAGCTGGCGTTTGTCCGCAGACAGCTTCCAGGTCATGTGGCCAACATGACTTAAGCCGCTTCTGGCGAACCAGAGCAGTGTACAGAAACGCTGTTTACCTTCCCGCTGGAGCGGTACCTATTTATCTACTTGCACTTGACGTGCTTTTGAACTGCTAGGTGGGCAGGAGCTGAGACTGAACAACCGGAACTCACCCCTGTCGCAGGGATTTGAACTGCTGACCTTTCGATCAGCAAGCCCTAGGCGCTGTGGTTTAGACCACAGCACCACCCGTGTCCCCAACTGACTACTAGTGGTTTATACCTTTTAATTACCATGATCGCCCATATTTTTCTCAACTGACTACTAGTTGAGAAAAATATGGGCAAACATGGTAATCAAAAGATATAAACCACTATAGTCGTACCTTGGAAGTTGAACAGAATCCATTCCAGAAGTCTGTTTGACTTCCAAAACGTTCTCAAACCAAAGCACGGCTTCTGATTGGCTGCAGCCAATCGAAAGCCGTGGAAGCCCCGTCGGATGTTCGGCTTCCAGAAATAGTTCACAAACCGGACAGTCACTACTGGGTTTGCGGTGTTCAGGAACAAAAACATTTGAGAACTAAGCTGTTCGAAAACCAAGGTACGACTGTATAGGATGGGGAAATTTAAACAGATATTTCAATGAAATTAGGTATTTTGGGGTCTTGGAACTAGTGAAAAAACAGCATGCCATACACACAGTATGCAGTATCAAAAAAAATTTGGGGGGTACATATATGGGAAAATTTATGAATGATTCCTTATCACATTTTACCCATCTTCCCATTCCAGGACACCCCAAGACGAAAGCCTTTATAACACACGGTGGAACCAATGGGATTTATGAAGCTATTTACCATGGTGTTCCCATGGTTGGGATCCCCATGTTTGCTGACCAACCCGATAACGTTGTGCACATGAAGGCAAAGGGGATGGCTGTACAGCTGGACATTCATACAATGAAGACAGAAGACTTAGTGGATGCCGTGAACACTGTCATTCACAATGCCACGTGAGCGAGACACAGATCGCCTTCTCTATACAATGCCTAGAGCAAGCTAGGTCCTTCAGCAATAGGTTTTGGAAAAGAAAAATGTAGCCGAGAAATCGTTAGCACATATTATTAATATTCTATAGCCAAGCCCATTCCCACCTGACTCCATTTCCTCCTGCCCTGCTGTGGTCGTCTTCTTGCCACAAGTGTTTGCTTCTACCACGTTGGGATACATTTTCTCTTGCCAAACCACATTTGAATCTAGCGCCTTCTGACTTTTGTCCTACTATGGAACTCAAGGCTTTTGCCCCCAAACACCTCTTGCCCTCAGTCTGAGGTGCAGACGACCCCGAAAGGCAAGAACCGTATTTTTTGCTCTGCAAGACTCACTTTTTCCCTCCTAAAAGGGGGAAATGTGTGTGCGTCTTATGGAGCGAATGCAGGCTGCATAGCTATCCCAGAAGCTGGAACAGCAAGAGGGATTGCTGCTTTCGCTGCACAGTGATCCCTCTTGCTGTTCTGACTTCTGGGATTCAAAATATTTTTTTCTTGTTTTCCTCCTCCAAAAACTAGGTGTGTCTTATGGTCTGGTGCGTCTTTTAAGGCGAAAAATACGGTATATCTCGTTTCCTTCTATTCAGTCCCCCATATGGTTATGGAGCCAAAAGTACCACTGCGACAGTAGTCAATCTCTTCAGTCTATGTTTTTCTGGTGCCCGTCAGTCACTCATTCAGATTTTTTGCCACAAATGACACTACCAGTCTACAAAATGCACATAGCATGTTTCTGGAACATTCACAAGGCCACTTGCCTAAGAAAACCAGCAGAAGTTAAAGGCAAATCAGAGCAATGTTTTCCCTTAATTTCCTTGTGTTATTTGCCATAATACATTAGTTAGTAGGCTGCCACAACAGTCTTGTTTTTAAATCCTGGGAGCAATTAAAGACTGCAGTCCTCCGAGTTCTGGCTCTATACTAATTTGTTCTTGTTTCTCTATCTTCCTCCAGATATAAGGAAAATGCAATGAGACTGTCACAGATCCACCATGACCAACCGATAAAGCCGCTGGACCGGGCTGTCTTTTGGATTGAGTTTGTCATGCGCCACAAAGGTGCCAAGCACTTGAGAGCAGCTGCCCATCACTTGACCTGGTACCAATATCACTCCCTGGACGTCATTGCCTTCTTGATCGGTTGCATGGCAGTTTTCATATTCATTGCTGTTAAATGCTGCTCATTTTTTTGTCGGAAATGCGGCAGGGCCCTTAGGAAAACAAAAACAGAGTAACTTACCCCTGGGACTCGGTCATCATTGTGTGGCCTGCATAATTCAGCATGCTCATGACTTGGTTTGCTAATACCCCCCTTTATGAAAACTGCACCTAAAACTTCTAATTTTTTTGCCACACTTTTCAACTCAAACGGATGTACAAGCAAGTCAATCTTAACTGTGCTTCATTCAGCACCTGAGTACTGTATGTATCAATGGTGGTTCACACTTCGAGATCACTCGTTTTTGTTTTGAACTGAGCTTATTCTGTAAACTCCACAACTGGCAACATAGCACAGAACCTTTTTATTTGGAGGCAGTGACACTCACTATGAATCTCTCAAAATATACATCTAAGTGTTGCTAAAGTGGGAAATCGCATAAACAACGTGGTCCTTTTCAAGATTGAGAACCGTTTAGTTCTGAAACACAGCAGTTAAGGTTTCCTGTGGACGTTTGTCACCTGCTGCTGGAGTACAGCACGTGCACAATCGATACGATCCAACAGACGCTAGTCATGCCTGAATCTGCTTGGAATCAATGGACTAAAAATGCTAAATTTAATGTTTAAGTCCCACATGGTGGATAGTCCGCACCGAAGCCATTCTAATAATGACACAGTGACCCAGGAAAAATGTGTCTAATTGCACATCTGCTGAAATTATTAATATTGTAATTCTTAAGAATAATTTTTTTCCCCATTGTGATAGAGCTGCACGCATACTTCAATTCAGGACTGGAATAAATGGTATTGGTGTAGAATTCAGTTTCCTCAGAATCATAGGGATTTATATATCTATATATGCAACTTTCGCCTTTATGACAGCAACAGTATGCTTGGAAATGTCTAGTAAAACCTCAGAAGATTTGCAATGCTTGCAGTTCAGGTTTCGGTGCCCGATTAGCTGCCTGACCTTACCATGACTAGAAAAATAGGAGCGAGGCCAAAGATGGCTGTACATATAATTCAGCTTTTCATGGCACAGAATTCCATCACACCACCTCTGTCACTGCCACTAGATCATCCTAGCTTTTGCTTTGCATAAATAAGACAGCTCTCTGTCCCAGCCATCATCTCACTGTGATGCTGCCCCTCTGCCCAGAACTCTAAACCCAAACCCTGCCCTGACCACAGTGGACTTCTTGTTCCCCAGATGGAGGTTTTGCTACCTCTGAAACCTTGCCCCTGTCCAGCTTTTGCATTATGAACACACTTCTCTGTGATGCACTCACTCACCGCCCCCAATCTCTTACTCCACAATGAATTTTATCCATTTTCCTAAGTCAATGTGTCTCAAGCTTTCTACTGTCCAGGAATTCTTTTGTCCATCACAGAAATATAGTATATTGAAGATGCTCAGAGAGTGCAAATTCAGTTCATGTGAGGCACTTTGTCAGGTCAGGGGAGGGAGAGATGGGGCTCACCACTGCCCCATCTGGAGTTAGGATGTAACTTAAAACATACTAAAACTGCTTTTTGCCGCACCAGTAATAGGTAAGGGATCTATTGAGCCAGAAGTGACCTTTTCAGATTGAGGCTTTTTTGCTCCACCCCCCCTTCAAAAACAAAACAAAACAACTCATCAGAAGCATGCACATCCATGAAAGTTGACTGTTACCAATTTATTATAAAAAAAAATGGTAGCAATGTAGAATACAGCAAGATTTTGTGCTCACACACACACACACGGTGGACATTCCAAACAATATGGACATTTTTTTCGGGGGGGGGGTGTAATATGGAAGTGGGAGAGGCGAACAAACAATAGCATTAACCAAAATGCCAGCACAACACAGGAAAGCTGTTTAAAAGGTTAAAAATTAGATATCAATATTGTCATCTTAATATTGCTTTCATTATTGAACAAGCTTGACTCTTACAGAGGTGTTTTTTTTTCCATAAAAAAAGGAACAACCAGAAAAATCAAGACATGGCTGTTTCAACACGGACATACAGCCAAACCATCACACCCAGTATTTGCATACCTGATAGCAGCATTTCCCCCCACAGAATCATGTAAAAAAACTACATGGAAGGAAACAAAAGCAAAAATATTATGGCAGTTGTCAACTGGTATTCAAACAAACAGATGATTAAATTACAGTTAAGATAAACACATAGGGATCATTAATCTACCTTCTTTAAACTTTTTCGAAACTGCTCAAATGAAAGTCACCAACTCAAGGGTCAAGTTTGCACGTTTTTTGTCTTTTTGTTTAGCCGATGGGGATTTTCCAGTTCACAGCTTACTGCATGCTTAGAACAAAGAGGGTCAATTATAAATCCTTCTACACAATAAAGTAGGTAGACAGAGGAAAATAGAAGTTTACTACCTGTAAACACACAAATATACAAGCCTTTGCTTTAAGTGACTGCAGTTCCGCAATGCATTATCTTCTATATCTTCCTCTTTCTCCTCTGTCTCTGTCCCGATCGCATATCCTCTCCCTCTCCCTCTCCCTGCCCCGATCCCGATCTCTGTCCCTTCTGGTATCCCGGGGCCGATCCCTCTCACGATCCCGCTCTCGTTCTCGGGGTCTGCTTCTTCGGCCGCTGACAACTGCTTGTGTCCGACGTAGAAAGTCATCTACCCTCATGTCATAATCATGCTGTAGGAGACAGAAATGTTTTTATAGATCACCTAATTTTAAAAAGCTACAAAGCACAGGTAAGGCTGCTGGTCACTATCGCTTTATGATGCCTCCAGGAGCGGGGGTGGCATGCCTCTTGAATGCCAGTCACTAGGTAATGCTGCAGGACAGGTTATTGCCCTCAAATGCTGCTTAAGGGCTTTTCATGGGCATCTGGTTGGTCCCTGTGATAAGCAGGATGCTGGCCTAGACAGACCTTTGGACTGACCCACCAGTGCTCTGATGTTATAATGGACCTGGAGGCCTCAAGCCTCCAACATTCCTTATTAAGGTAAAGGTAAAGGGACCCCTGACCATTAGGTCCAGTCGTGGCCGACTCTGGGGTTGCGGCGCTTATCTAGCTTTATTGGCCCAGGGAGCCAGCGTACAGCTTCCGGGTCACATGGCCAGCATGACTAAGCTGCTTCTGGCGAACCAGAGCAGCGCACGGAAACGCCGTTTACCTTCCCGCCGGAGTGGTACCTATTTATCTACTTTCACTCTGACGTGCTTTCGAACTGCTAGGTTGGCAGGAGCAGGGACCGAGCAACGGGAGCTCACCCAGTCGCAGGGATTCGAACCGCCAACCTTCGGATTGGCAAGTCCTAGGCTCTGTGGTTTAACCCACAGCGCCACCCGCGTCCCTTTTTAACATTCCTTATGCTAATCTTTAAAAGAAGGATCAAAACAAATCGTAAATGAAAACGGGCTTTGCCTTCAAATACAGTGGTACTTCAGTTCTCGAATGTAATCCGTTACGGAAGACGGTTCGAGTTCCGAAATGTTTGTCAACGGAGACGTTTGAGAACCGAGGTACCGCTGTATCTGGATTCAACATGCATCTGGAGCGTAGTTTCTCTTTTGAAAGGGAAAACTCAAACCACATACAATACTTCTTGCAAATCTTCCAAGTCTTCAACAACTGAGACTCTCAAGGCTCAAACTAACTTGGGAGCATATGCAAAAATATGCAAAGGGGTCGATGATGGGCATGTGCAAAAGGAACAACTTTGTAAAACAACATCATAGGTTTTGCTCTCCAGTCTCGTGTGCTTGCATTCTACTATTTATTTTGGCACAAGCGGTAGCTTTAAAATGTGCTCTTTGAAGGCTGGGACAGAACACGCACTGAAAGTTTCAATGAACGTAGAGGCCTGACACTTAAGACTGTATAAAGGTCTCTTGACAGCGTAAGATCTGCCCATGACCCTTAACTGGCATGGTACCAGCCCTTCTGGGCATACTTACCACCCGCTTATCCCTGTATCGTGCATCGTGTGGAATGGGATGGTGCCCTGAGTAAGGAGGGTGAGCCTGTGGTGGAGGAGCATGGTGCTGGTAGTAAGGATGGTGGGGAGGCTGTTCCATACCTGGGTAAGGAGGCTAAAAAGAAAACGGTGTTATTCGCTTAAATTTCTCCTCCTTAGAACACAATCGGCATCAATGAACACTCAAATGCAACTGTAATAACCACTATACCTTATAGTGGTTAAAAACTAGCCCAAACTGTACACTTAACCCCACATTTCCACAACCAGACACAGGAGGAGGCTGCAGCGACTGAACAGTGTAGTTTGTATAGGTACAAACATACTATGCACACAATTCTCCGTGTGGAAGGGGCACCCGTACCTTGTGCAGAATTAAACTGGCAGTGGGGATATTCACCATGCCACTGGGGGCCATGTTCTGCAAGGTAAAATAAAAGGCTTCCAGAATGCTAGGGAGGATGAATGGGGTGAGGATTATCGCCATGCCAAAAACATGCTCTCAATGTTACAGTCAAAATCAATATGCATACATTTGCTTTGAACTGATTGCAAAAGCAGGTGGGAGGCTGGAGCCGAACAGATATTGTAGTTTGACACAAGTGTCTTGATACCAAACCCACCCAGAACATTGAAATTCAATGTTATTGCATAGATCAGTAGTTTACAAACTCTCCTGTCATGGACCACTTGAAAATCGCTGAGGGTTTCACGACCAATTGATGATTTTTCTGCCTGTTGTAGCCACTGTAACATAGCTGTCAACTTTCCCCCCTTTTTAAAGGGAAATCTTATTTGGAATAAGGGAATTTCCCTTTTAAAAAAAGGGAAACGTTGACAGCTATGCACTGTATCCCTGTGCTAGATGTTGTATGGTTGTGCTGTCTTCCATCTGCAACAACAAATCCAGACACACTGCAACAGTTTGGGAACTTCTGAGATCGAATGGTTCATTTACCCGGATACTATCTAAGTGTACTTTACAAGTGGGGCCTGCTGTGGTATATCCTCCTTCCTAAAGAAATCTTGCCTGCCCTGGGTTCCATGCACCCCAAACAGACCACTCCAGTCTGCATTCTAGGTGCAGCTTCCCCACAAGATTCAATTTTCCTTTTGAAGAGGTCAGCTATTGGGTATGCCAAGTCATCTTTTAGCCTCCTTTGGTTTGTGCCCCGCCCCCAATTGTAAGTAAAGGTAAAGGGACCCCTGACCATTAGGTCCAGTCATGATTGACTCTGGGGTTGCGGCGCTCATCTTGTTTTATTGGCTGAGGGAGCCGGCGTACAGCTTCCAGGTCATGTGGCCAGCATGAATAAGCCGCTTCTGGCGAACCAGAGCAGCGCACGGAAACGCCGTTTACCTTCCCGCTGGAGTGGTACCTATTTATCTACTTGCACTTTGACGTGCTTTTGAACTGCTAGGTTGGCAGGAGCAGGGACCGAGCAACGGGAGCTCACCCCGTCGCAGGGATTCAAACCGCCGACCTTCTGATCGGTAAGCCCTAGACTCTGTGGTTTAACCCACAGCGCCATCCGTGTCCCTCCCCCCAATTGTACTTCAACAGTATAAGGCTTGCTGATTTCCTTCTTTTTTCTGTGGCCTTGTTTCGCTACAACTTTGGTAGCCCCCCGACATCATTCTTTCATATTGCCTGCTCTTTTCCACCTGTGCTTCTTTTATACGTAGCAAATCTTTCTTGCATGCATTTAAGAGCACGACTCTACGCTTATATCCTGGCTTGCAGGGTTTCCTAGTGGCATGCAGTTGGACGCCATGAGAACAGAATGCTGGACTAGATAGAGTTTGGTCTGATTCAGCAGGAATCGCTTGTCATTTTTAGATCCCTAAGGAAGTTCATAAAAAAAATAAAAATGAAACTACCCTTATCATCGTTACTCTAAGGAATGCATTCAATCAAATGCATGGTCAAAAGTAAAGTGCGTTTAAAAATACAAACCATTCCTTGCCAGGGTGGCGGCGGACCCATGCTGTGGAATTCTCTCACATAATCATTGTAGGACTGGAAAATAAACACATACAGGGAACGTCAAAAACACTGGCAGCATTAAAGCACGTGCAGCTACAGCACACGAAAAGGCAGACACTTACCCCATTTAAAAAGACATCTCTCCGCACTCCTGAAAATCGTCTGTTGGGAATGAGATTTGTGAATTTAAACACAGTGCTAAGTTACCAAAGCATAAAATAAACAAAGACTAAAGCATCTCTTACCTGTCTGCATCTTGGTATCTGGGATCCTTTATATAGCCTGTTTAAAACCAAGCAGCATTATATATCATATTTACCGCTATAGCAATATATAGACAGAAATTAGCATCTTTCCCACAAGCATGCACCTGCCTTGGCAAAGAGAACAAGGAAAGGTAATTCTGCTGTTCCCAAAGGTGGCTTCAACAATTTGTGTAAGGAGCTTTAAAATGTATCGTGTTTTTCTTTATAGCAGAATAGAGCAGACTCCAGTAATTATCTAGCTATTGGATAAAGAATGTTAAATCTGGTCATTTTAGATTGATGCCAAGATTTAATCTAAACATCAACAAAAGTACAATGTAGCCTGTTTTGAGGAGATTAATAAGACATACCTACATATTCACTCATATAATAGAAGGACATTTCTAACATTTTTGTCTCTGCTCTAAGCTTGGTCCCCCTACCATGCTCCAAGGGCACCACGATCCCACACGTTCCGTTAAGTCTTCCTATTCAAAATGAGCTTTAACTAGAGCCCTGAAGACCCCTGTGCACCCTCAAAGCTTTATTTCAACCTTCACATTCTACACAAATTCAAGATGTTAATACACAAATCTGTACGTTTGTGCAAATGTATTTGCATAACGAGATATTAACCTTGTCTTTGGTGAAACTCAGGGGGATAATCAATCCTTGGTTTCTTTCTGCTGTTATGAATATCATAATCCTCTGGTCGACGCCTACATAAATTAGACAATAATTAAACAATTGTTTGGAGCAACCTTAAAGTAAATACCTTCAGAAGGAACAGGAGGTAACCCAGGACGACTTTCTGGGAGGTTTCTGAAGTCCCAGGCAGCTGTGTGAGCCTTACCAAATTCACCGCTCAATCCTTTCTTGTGTCGATGTAAATATGCTTAACTGGCATTTTATGGTGGCAAAGAACCTGAAATCCTTGACCCAGCCATACCTCTTAATTCCAACCTACTTCTTTAGGGCTTACTCCCCGTTACACACAGAACTGTAGCCATAAACCTAATTTAACCCTACTTGTAACTTGTGCAATTGCTATATTGATGCTCGTCCTACAAGCACAGAGCCACACAATTTGGACGCATCTTACGGACGTGTTCCGAACCTCTAAATACTCTGCCTCACTTGGACTGATATCATTCGGACCCATCTCTCTCTCTTTTCCCCCTGCCCCCGCTTTACATACAAAGATTACTAGCCAGGAAGGATCTTTTACAATATGGCCTATTCCTATGTTCTCGAGATTAGAGCTAAGAGAATTTTCAAAATTCTTATTACTAGCTGAAATGCTTGTGCTTTCCGAAGAAGGTATTTTGCAGCTGCCAGCCTGGGTTTTCCTTTGCTCACCACCAGCAGGTCACTGAATGCCCCTCCCCAAACCCTTCAAATACACCATCAAAAGGTGAAACAATTATACAGGCCAAAGGCAATGACCCCTCCCTCCTCCCCAACTACCATTAAAATATATTGCATTACCATTTTAAAAGCAAGTATCACAATTCTGAGCAAACAAAGCAACTGTATGTACAGCAGAAATAGATTTAGAAAAAAAGAGCTGGTGTAAAGAATAAACATACCGCTTTCTTGTAGTTTGAGTGTGCACTTACGACCGGTATAATATATGATAGTAACAGTTCATATAGTAGTCCAACTACTGACTTTAAGCTGAAAGCCACATACATAAATGGAGGCCCTGGCAGGCTTGAGAAGGTGTGGTGGTGTTATAATGTATAGTTTGCAGTCCATTGCAAAACCTTCACTCGTAAATACTTTATTGCACTGGAAACCTCTCAGGCTTAACTTCAAAAGCCATCGCTGCTCAGTCCTCTTATGCCCAAAGAAAGGGGGATGCTGCCAGGATTCCTCCTACCTACAGGTTACGGTGTCCTTTTTTTTTTTTTTTTTTAAACAGCAAGGATATGGGGACTCGTTGGATATCTGTTACCTACCACAGGACGTTTCCACAAACAGGAAACTGCAACCGAAAAAGGTTTCAGCCCAAACTACACAGTCTTTAGCGGAAAGGCTTTAGATTTATCAGAAAGCAAAGTGGCTACACAGGGGGTCAGGGAATCGTGATGGATAGAAGGGCTTATATCAGTCCTTTGCAAAGACTTCTCCAATTCTGTAACAAGATATACCCCTCTTTTCTGGGGAATGTTGGCAAGTTCATAGAGCAGTGATCAATAATCGTGGCGATCCTCTAAAACCACTCTTAAGTCCACAGGTGCTGCCCGCATCTGGAAAGGTTGTGTACACAGACACAGCAACAGCCATTCTTTTTGGTTTGTTGCCGGGTCTCCAAGGCCACTTCCTCCCCCTTTGGAGAGAACCTACGGCTTCCAGAAGCTCAGCAAGATGTGAGAGAATATTTGGTAATGGGCTTAACCACAGCACGGTGATACAATTTGAGACAGTCCCAAACACGCTCTTCTTGAACAGCAAAATAACACAAATATTTTTATCCTCAAAATGAGGCGGTCATCTTCTGCAAAATTATAAGTGATCCTGATAAAAGTCCCATATTTTGACAAGGCTTATCCAGAGATATACCTGAAAGAAAAGGCTTTTACAAGATATTAACACATTTTTGAACACACAGACTTGCTCTTCCTCCACCTAGCCTGCTCATGATAAATCCGCTTACCTACACGAACAGATTATCTGCATTATCTGACCAAAGATCTAGTCTAAGCTAGGTTTACAAGAACGTATTTTCTGCATGAGCCAAAGGTCCCCGTTTTCCTCTTGAAAGTGACCAACTGGGGGAGGGGGGACAGTGTGAAATCCTCCATGAAGCCACAAACCCGTCCATGCAGCTTGATGTGAGGATTTTCTCTCTTCTTGATTGCAGGGAAAGCTTTTTGATGAATCACATTCCTCCATCACGTAATTCTGACACATGTGCCTATTATCAGTCCAAAGAACGTTTCTAACCTTCCCACATCTCGGAGTGGCTCTCGGCGGGACGGCCGTCCTCTTGACCGGGGCTGAGAATGCATTCTTCTCTTGTGCCGCATTTTATGAATGACTTGATACAAGTCAATACTTTCATCGGGAGGGAATAGGAGACAAAGCTGGGTTCCGCATTCAGGCTCAATTTCCTGGAACAGTTAAACGCTCGTTTTACAAGGTGAACTCTGAATGAATCCAAATTTCCCAAAGACAGCTTCTGCAGCCAACCAGACGGACACAACGAAGTATAACGCTCAATGACATGTTTTTGCTGATTTCTACGAGAAAGTTATACTAGAAACAGCTATAAATACCAACAGAGGGATTTCTAGAAAAATGTTACAGCGTAAGTAAGAAAGAGTTGTATCACATACCTTGTGCAACCAACATGTGTAGCCCAGAATCATGGATCAAAAGCTCACCGGCACAAACAAATAGATTAGGTAAATTTGTTTTTATGGAATTTTAGGACATATGCTGCCCATGAAGCAACAAAGAGTGCATATCTTTATTTTGTTAGCTATCAAAAATTGTATTTGCAGCATGCCAAATAGTGTTACAGCTATCTTTTTAAAAAGCACACTGAGATTTGAAATAGCCATGCAAGGTGAAGGAAGTCATAAGTTTATGTGGGCTGCTTTTTCACAAGACCCTACCCTCCCAGTTAGTATAGCAGGAGAACAAGCCCATATTTCTCCCTCACAATGAACCCATTTTAGAGACTTGAGAATGGTGGGAGTCACAGTTCATCTAGATTCAAGGCTGCTTTTGGCAGAAAGTAGCCTAACAGGAGCTTTAATAAAGAATGGACTACACTTCAAGATGCTTCAAAAGAAGATATTTTGTTGTGACTTTTTTTCTAAGAGGTTACTGTTCATCATTGTTCTAGGATCTCTTTGTGCTCGAATTAATGGTGGCTGTCTTTCAAACGTGGACAACTATCAAATAAAATAAGAACAAATGCATTCCAAAATTTTAACTACTGGCCTTAAGATACTGAAGAGGAATAATTAACACAAATGACAAACCTGTCCATCACGTCCAATCTTTACTGGTTTATGCTCATTCCAAGGATTGGTCAGGTGAGCAGATTTCGTGAATGGCAACTCACGCCTAAACGTACAAGTGACATGTAATACATTTTGTGTATTTGGCATTTAAATTAAATCGTATACAAGGATGCTTTTATGGACTATAACTTGAACATTAAAAAGAAAACAGAAAACCAGGAAGATGAGCATTCTGAACTGGCAGATATAAATATTATCAAAGTGCAGCTTGGAAGACCAACTGAGTTAGGTTCATAATGCTCACCCTAGTATGAAGCAAGCATGACAACCCTGTAAGTTCTCTTCCAGAAGGAAACTTAAGCCTTGCCTTTGCATCCCACCCACCCACACTGTTTTGACATTCTGGCAGCGTTCTTAACACCTAGAATGCTGCTATTACTTTCTAGGAAGTAAACAAACTATGAAAGCACTACTGGAAAAAATGTGGACTTCCAGTACAGTAGTAATGCTGGGAAGATGTTCAAAAGGATTAAGTTATCTTCACAGATTGAGAAACTCTTCTCTCTCTCTCTCTCTCTCTCTCTCTCTCGATTTAAAATTAAGACTTGGGGAAACTCAACCATCACTATTCTGAACATTTCAGGTAAGTGATGACAAAAACCAAGCTTGACATTCATAATATAGAATATGTGTTTCATGAGAAGTTTGATTATTTTCAAAGACAAGAGAAAACCAATGCAAAACAAAAAACTAGACTTCAATGACAGGGTTGGGGATGTGAAGAATGCATCTTTTGCAGCACAACCTCTGGTTTCCCAACTTCATAGACTACTAGTCTGAAAGTCAGTATCTTGAGTGTCAATTTCTGACGACATCCTACTGCAGCAGATAGAGGCTCCCTATTCCCATCCTATACTTCAATGTCTCAAAATCCATGCATTAGAGGCAGCTATCAAGAGCCTTACATAATCAGTTGGGGGAGCACAGAATGCTAATAATGGCAGGTCTGTGTATGTGTTCTCTCTCTCTTTCTTTCTCTCTCTCTCTCTCTCTCTCTCTCACACACACACACACACACTTGCAAGACCATAGGACTGAATTTAAGGCAATAATTTGTCACCTATGAAGATGATGGTTAATAACAAACTCTCTGAAGCATGGCAAAAAATAAAAGACAAAAGATATATACCCTATTCATGGTAGGGCAAAAATATTCCTTCCACTAAGACGAAAGTCTTTTAGAATCATAGTGTTGGAAGGGACCGTGAGGATAATCTAGTCCAATGCTCTGCAATGCAGGAAACTTTTGCCCAACGTGGGGATCAAACCCACAACCCTGAGATTAAGAGTCTCATGCTCTACCAACTGAGCTATCTGCGAACTATCTCCAGACTATGCAAATGGGTGGTAACCTATTGTTCCAGCAAATGAATCATGTCTATTTTGAGGATACACTTTGTGAACCTACTCAGAATATCCAAAAGTAAACATTACGAACCAGAAATGTCACATTTTAACCCTTTTACCTGCATATCCAATCTATCTTAAATACGCCTCCCAGCATTTTTGCACTCATTCCTGCAGGTAGCACCCAGTGTATGGGAGATCCCCCGTGATGGGATTCTGAAGCCAGCCTTGCAAATCCTGCAAGAATCAGAACACTGCAATGAGACGACATAACCTAAACAACTTTGGGTTAATGTTGAGTGCAGGCATTCCCTCTTCTTTACCTTGGAATTTCCCACTCTCTCTCACAGAAAATATCAAGATAACACTCCTTGCTTGTCTGAAGGCAGCGTTGAGCTTCTTCTCATTGACTGGGAGGGTTGACCAGACACCCTGCAGAGAGATGAACAGACATGTGAATTATAAAACCAAAACTGTTCAATGGATGCGCCAGGGACACCTTGCACTTAGCTCAGTGCTAGAACACATGTTTGACATGCACCAGGTCCCAAGTTCAGTCCTTGTAATTTCCAGTTAAAAGATGTGACAGCTGAGAAATATCTCTAACTGAGGTACTACCACTACAGGCAAGCCAGTATGACGGATACAGCTTCGTATTTCATAAATGCTCACATATCCAACAAAAGCTTGGGGAGGACCAGGAAAATCATAACCCATTAAGTTCAAAGCGTTATGGAAAGCATTAAACAGTAAAAAAAAAAGCATTAAACCAGAATTTGTTGTTCCCCTTTCTTTCTGCAAGGCTCCCAGCAGATTCAAAGTAACAGAGATACAGCTGGTGAGATGCTAACTAATTCCATTTCTTTGTGACAGGGTTGAGGTAAGAGAACTAATTAAAGGCTTGATAATTAAAAGAACAATTGCCCCTATTCCGTAATCAGAGTTTTATCTTCATAATGAAAGCAGTCTGTAAGTGCAATGTGGCATACCTTAGCTTTGGCAAGTGAGACGTTTTCATGGTTGTTACTTTTGATAAGAAAAAATCTTGCATCTTGGAGAATGTATTTAAGTTTGCTAGTTTGGTCTGGGGGTGGAAACAAAGCAAAATGTAATTTTATTGGCATTTCCCTCTGCACCTCCTAAGTAAACACACAACACATATTTATAGCCCCTTTGTGGGACAAGCCCTTTTATATTGTGGTACAACTATTCTTCACTTCAGAGGGGCTTATATTGGTCTCCTGCACAAATTCCATTTTAATATATTGAAGCTACATGACCAAATTTTGAGGAATTGTGCTGCAAGTCAGTAGCCGAATACCACATATTTCAGACTTGAAATCTGTGTCATAGCATGCAATGCTAAGCGTAGAAAGCAAAATAAGCTATTTCAAGTAAAAAGCCAATGCAACATCAGTAATGTTCCGATATGTTCACTTCCTGGTTATTGGAGTAAAATACATTCTTGGATGAGGAACCTACGAAATTTTATCTTTCAAACAGCACCATTTCATTAATTCTTTGCTTGCCAATTCAGCAATAAGATATATATATATTTGCCTTTATGAAGATGCATGCAAGAAGTAATTTGAGAGGCAATACAATCTGCTCACTTGAGTTAGTTCCACTATACATCGGAACATTACCACATTTGATGTATGTTAACAAAGACTTGACACAACAGCTTGCAATGGGAGCATGCATTAAAAAATTCGAATTTAAATTATACCTTTTTGGACAGCACGAACGGAAGATGATAATTTCTCATGCTTCTTTTCTGAACCTGTGTTTAGCCAAAGTACATTTGTTCAGATTGAGCCTTAATAGAGATACGATATAAATTCTACAGCCTTTTCACATACTATTTTCATTCATGACAAATTATTCCTCCTGACGCGCACCCACACACACACAAAGAATGCTGCTCAATGTGCACGAGGGTTTGTTTTGGATTTTTGGGTTGTTTCATTTTGTTTGTTTGTTTTGGTGGACCAGTTTTCTCTTCAGAAAACTAGTCAATGAATCATCATCTTCCAAGTTTTAAAAAGTGAAAATTCCACTTAAGCAACAAAATAGCATTAACATAACAAGAAAACCTACTTCCCCAAATTATTCACACAGAACATGCCAAAATACCAATTTTCACTATTTAGCTACATGTCCAAGAGGTTTCTATGGCCCACTATTTATTTTGGAAAATGCAGTTCAAGGGTTTTGCTACAGATCATTTCAGTAAGATAAGCAATAACATAATAATACCTGCATACGACTCTGATGCAGAGCTTCCACTTCTATCAAAAACAATCGGAGAGATGCCTCTAGCTCTTTTTCTCGCCTTCTTTTTCTCATCTAAGACCATCAAAACAAGCAACAGCAGTACTTTTAAGGCCGACACCAACAACGTTATCAGGAATGATTGCAAAGAAGGTCAATACAGTTTACATTAGCTAAATGCATATTTGGCTCTCAACATTCAGAACTATCATCTCATTAGCCCTTCGTTCTTTAGTCAGGATCCAAAGATCCATGGAGTTGTTTTGCAGAGCTCAAGGGAGCTTTAAACTTTTTTGCCTTGAACAGTAATATTGCACATTACATGGAAAGCTGCTTTTGAAACACACAAATTTCAAAAGCAGTTTCTGATACAGTATGGTGTGCGCACGTGTGTATGAGTGTGAGGTCTTCACAAAGTCAAGAAATTGACTGGCATAGATCAAGCCTCCTGTTGGAGCCCCAGCATGCCCTTGGACCACAACGTTTATGCACATTATTAGAAATACAGCAAACACATCGCCCTAAAGCCTGATTTATACATTGCCAGGTACGTAAGCTTGCCTCTTTTGCACACCATGGATTACAACCTACTTCTGGATAACAGATTCGCTTAAGGAGTCTGTGCCAGACACCCAATGAGGTGCAATGCTGATTGGGGTGTTTGCCATGTTATTCAAATGATCTAGCCATGTGACACAACAACCACACCACATTGATAACACTATTCCAAAGCTTCTGAAATGGAACTGTCCCTGTCACGATACTTGGGACAATTAGGGACACCGAAAAATAAAACGAGGAAGGCGGAGTTGGGAGGGACATCGCTTAAATAGTGAACAATAATAAATTAATAGAACATAAGTATTTGGCTAGAAGTTTGAAATTCAGCTAAAACTCAGCTGTTTTGCTCTGATTTCTTTCCAGGTTTTTTTAAACCAGAATGTGCCAACTAGCTTTATATACTGCTGGAAACACTGTTTCTTCAGTTATAATCTACTCTTTTAAAAAAATGTTTTTTAAAAATCAATTTTTTCACCACAGAAATATACGCAGACCAGCCTTTCTCAACTTTGGGTTCCTGGATGTTGTTGGACTACCACTCCCATCATCCCTTGCTGGCTATGGATTATGAGAGTTGTAGTCCAACATCATCTAGGGACCCAAGACTGAGAAAGGCTAACCTAGACTGGTATTACAAACACTGGTACATAGAATTATTCACGTTGAAACGTAAGTTGAACCTGTGAGACACACTGGTTTGAAGATCTTTTCTCATCCCCATGAAAGAGGTCCCTAAAAGAATGTAACGTAAAGTACACTGCCAGAAAACTCATCTTATGTTTCCACTTTCATTCCTCACAGCCTCTGGCCAAGAGACCAGCACTATGAAGGAAACTGCTTAGTGAGACACTAATGAGCACCAGAGCACAGGAAGAGCTCTGCCGGATGAGACCAAGGACCCATCTAGTCCAGCACTGTTCTCAGTGGCCATAGGAAGCCCTTTGGACAAAAATGAACACTTTGCTGCTGTGCTATCCTTACTGGTGCTGCTCTTCCGACACCAGGAAATCACACCAGAGCCAATCATCTGTGGTACGATTTAGAAATAAATAACTGAATATGACAAGACCCAGAGCAGAAAGAAATGATATCAGCTACCTGATATATCCGAGCCCGAACCAGATCGGACTGACCCATCAGTAAAGGATGCAGATTCAGATTCAGAATCACTAGCTTCACTTCGTGTGTCATAATCATTTCCCTCCTTCTGATCCCTTTCATCTTGATCATAATCCTCTTCTTCATCATCTCCCTCTTCTTCCACTTCTTCTTCCTCCTCCTCCCCGTCATCGTCTTCCTCCTCTTCTTCTTCCTCCATCCCCTCCTCCTCCTCCTCATTCTCTGTGTTTCCTTGGTCAGAGGATCCGCTACTGCCTGTTTCATGATCCGACCCGTACTCCTCGGAGTTCACCTCTTCTTTTGAGGAGTGGCTGGACCTGCTTGGCTGTCTGTCCACCTCATGCCTTAGCCTCTGTTTAAATGAGAATAAAACAAACGCCTTACATGTCAGGATGCACAGAGAGTTCGGAGCAAGAACTGGTGCATTTAATGACTGCAAAAGCCGCTGCTTACCCCAGAGGTATCTGGAGTGGAAGACTTTGCCCTTCTGTCAGCATCTCTTTTCCTCATGCATGCCTTCTCAGGTTGCCCTTTGTAGGCGTCTCTTGAGCTGCTGCTTGTCATACGCATCTTTCTGTCACCTTCTGGGCGCTTGCTCCTATCAGACCTTTGATACTCCTCATTCTTATATTCCAATACTGGCTTTCCTTTTGTGCTCACTATTCGCTTGTTGTTGCTAACGGATGAGCTTGGAGGTTTGGGTAGCAACTGCCTCGAGGAATGCACAGAAGGCTTCTGCTTTTTGCTCTCAGCTGTCTCCATCCTCTCGCTTTTCCTTTTGGATCCTGAAATATTTTTTTTTAGAAAAGCACCAACAAATTTTGAAATCAGCATTTCATAGTTACTTGATAGCATTAACAAAATGCTGCTAAAGCTATCTTCAGAAAACATGATGAGCAAACTTTTTTCACATTTAGCATGAGACAAAGCACATAAAGCTATTAGGTTTGAAACTGGGATGTTGTGTTAAATAAACTGCCTCCTTGGAAATCCTAGTATCTCTCACTATTAAAGATGAGAAAACTGATGACCAATTGCTGGAATGACTTAAAAGACCAAAACACAACTTAGCACAGCCCTTCCAAACCCTAGTGTAGTATCATTCCAAATGTTACTGGACTCACAACTCCAACTGGGCCCAGCCAGTATGGCCAATGGTCAGGGATTATGGGAGTTGCATTCCAATAACATGTGACGGGCGCCAGGCTGTGGAAAGTTGACTTGGGAAATAAGCTGAAATAGAACCTTGCTTCTGGCTTCCTCAGGAGAAAGACAGCTCCCTATGTATTTCTATAGCCAAAGAGCCAAGATTACATGCTTGAGGAAGGAAAACTATTTCAACTTGTTAATATTTTATAAGCAATGACAGTACTTGCTTTTTAGCAAACTGTACTGTTTTGTTTGGCGTGCCATATTCCACAAAGGCCCTTAAAGCCTTTAAAAACATTCAGATATGAAGGCTACAACCAAGGTATCGGCACAGCAGGTTCTTTGCACATATGTGACATGTCAATATTTTACTTTAATAGCTCACATTGCCTTTGAAAAAAATCAAATGTGGTAGGGAGATAAGGATACTTCAAAAGGAATTTGTAATGCAGAGCAAAGAACTCTCAGGAAAAAGAGGGGCTGCCCAGTGGGCATGCACAAGTCTCTGTGCACCCTGGCAGCAGCCCTCAAGCTTGTTGGCTGATCTTGCTGTCCACCTTTTCAAAAGGGCACCCAACTAGTGAAGAAGCATACCCTTTTTCTCACTTTTATCTTGCTCACTGTCAGGGTTATACAGTTCATCATCATGATCAGGTGCATCAGTCAATATATCATCCAGAACATTCAGTTCGCCATCTGTAAACAAAACACAAGGTTCAGAAATGGCATTCAGAAGAGCCGCACTGTTTGCTTTAATGGTATTAGAATAGTGGAATTAGAACCACAAAGTTCTAAAGTTGGAAGGGACCACAAGGATCTAGTCCAACCCGCTGCAATGCTCTTACCAAATGAGTTGTTAAAATGGTTTAAAGTGATACTAAAATCCAATACCCACACATTTTCATCTGCCCACCCATTTCAAGCTTTTCTAAAATTAAGAGTGAAAACTGAATAGCAAGGCAGTTTTTCACAAGACTAATTTGGATAGCTGCCAATCAAAACTGTTTAAATTGGGGAGAAGCAAGATATGGATGAACTCCCTACTACAGGTTTAACCAAATTCACTGACAAACCTCTCATCTATCTTTCAGTTGCTTTAATCTCTAAACTACATAAGGGACAATTGACCTGGTAAATCTTATAGGCTTGCTTTAGACCAGGGGTCGGCAACCTAAGGCCCATGGGCCACAAGCAGCCCACGGGGGTCGTTTAACCGACCCAGGAGGCACCCCCGAACCGAGCTGCCTGCTTGGTGAGTCCCCGCGCGCTTCGCTAAACCAGTGCGAAATTGCTTCTCTGCAGACGCCGGAAATCACAGGCATGCAATCTGGCCCACAGTAGGATCTCCACTGGAGTGAACCGGCCTAGGTGAGGTAAACCTTGCCGACCTCTGATTTAGACCTTAATCAAGACATTAAAATGTTTAATGCAATTATGGCAATTAGATTAATATGTTAACTGCAATGTTTATTCACACCAGTCAGTTGAGATTTATTCCTGACCACAGACTGGGTCATAATTAGACAAACATGGACTATCAAAGAAGGCATAGAGGCTAGGATGAGTTTGCACTGATTTTACTCTCATGAAATTTCATAGGTAAGGAACAGCCTCCTCAAAAAAACCTGTGATCCTTCACAGGTTTGCAGAGCCATTCATCCTAGAGCTGTGTATATTAAAGAGCTACATTTTATATCAATCATTCACTACTAGAAAAAGTAATAATATTTTGGGAGAATCTGACAAGGATGCCCCATACTTCTTGTAGTATTTGCTATATTAGTCACAGAGCAGTGATTCCAATAAGGGCAGGCTATATGGTACCTAGGCCACCTTTCCTGAAAATACAGCCAGGTGGAGTGGTTCTTGAAGAACAAGTTCTACAAAGGGAGGAGTCAAACAGTTGAGGACACCTCCCCCTTCTGGCTAATCTCTTCTTCTCAAGCATCCAGGTGTAATTAAAGGCTTGTAAAGATATGGACTAGGATCCCAACAACTGGTGCACATAGATTTTTACTTTTCCATTTTTAGAATTATAATCACAATTATTTTACTTATACCCCACCCATCTGGCTGGGTTTCCCCAGCCACTCTGGGCGGCTTACAGCATATCTAAAAACAATAAAAAACATAATCAGATCCCTACTGTCATATCATGAACACCTTTTCAAACTTCCTTCAATGTTGAAAGTGGTTTGGCATGCAACAGGAGGGACTGCAATTCCTGAAATTTCCATTTCAGGCAATCATTTTACTTTAAGATGAACCACAGCAAGAATTTGTGTCATAATTCTATCTCCTTGAGCAGTTTTGATTTGTTTTAACAAATCATGTGTTGACTAGTACAAAGCCATTACTAACTACAGACAAACATTATTAAATTTAATTATCTACAATCAAGTTCAAAGAGCTTTCCAAAGATTCAACTACAGTTAATGTGGTGTACAAAACTCCATTAAAAATGGAGCTGCCTTGAAAAATCAGTTACATTTCTCTTTTTTATTTTGTCTGGCTTCTCTGGGCTCTTTGGTTTTCAAGAGCTTCTCAATTATTTCTCAATGATACAGGTATACAGACTAAAACCTAATCCAGACAATATTCAACTAATGGCAACTGTTGGGGTGGGGTATGGCTGGGACCTCAATCCAATGGTCTCTTGAAACTCAGATCTATTGGGGGGGGGGGGAGAGAAAGTATTTTCAAACTGAAAATAATTAATTGCTTTGAGGCATTCCTGGTTTTCTCACCACGCCTAAGTGGCAACAATCTTAAATTTGGACCTAACTTAACACCACTCCTATTTTAATGTTCTTCACAGGAATTTGTTTTTGATGATGACTTTGGAAGGTTCGGCTAGTGCCAGAGACCTGTAGCCTTCTGGATATGAGACATCAGGAGCAAATTGCATTTGTCTTCCATTATCTGCACTTGCTCTATCTTGACTTCTGAACAAAACACCCCTTAAGTGTTGGACTTCTGAATGACCAGAGCTCCATTTATCCCTCACCACCACTGTGTTTCATTAACAATGCATACCATCTACACATTAGACATAGGACTGCAAGGAAGCACAGTCTCTTATTGGAAGACTGCCCAAGCCCAATAATCTTTTGGAGGTGACTTTGTTAATTAAACCACCAAACATCTTGTAGTATACAGCTCTACTTTTTGTGTTTGTAAACATTCTTCTTCTTCTTAAAACACCCTAATGCTTTTAGGATGACAGGGCATCTGAAACAATTTTTCTGAGCACCGGTTCTGTTCTTGAACAGTGTACAGTGGTACCTCGAGTTACATACGCTTCAGGTTACAGACTCTGCTAACCCAGAAATAGTACCTCGGGTTAAGAACTTTGCTTCAGGATGAGAACAGAAATCACGCTCCGGCGGTGTGGCAGCAGGAGGCCCCATTAGCTAAAGTGTTGCTTCAGGTTAAGAACAATTTCAGGTTAAGAACGGACCTCCGGAACAAATTAAGTACTTAACCTGAGGTACCACTGTACTGGTCTTCTACTGCGCTTTGACTTTACTCCCAGGGGTGCACTCCATTGTTTCTTGAGACAGACAGATGCCAACAAGTTACTATTCTGGTCTCATGTTATCAGCAGCTGGAGTTGTAATAGTTTGGAGGTCTCAGCAGGAATCAACTGACTACTAAAAGGTAAAGGCACCCCTGACCATTAGGTCCAGTCTTGGACTCCGGGTTGCGCGTTCATCTCGGTCTATAGGCCGGGGGAGCTGGCGTTTGTCCGCAGACAGCTTCCAGGTCATGTGGCCAACATGACTTAAGCAGCGGCAGCGTGGCAGCAGCAGGAGGCCCCATTAGCTAAAGTGGTGCTTCAGGATAAGAACAGTTTCTGGTTAAGAACGGACCTCCGGAACGAATTAAGTACTTAACCCGAGGTACCACTGTATTTTACTGGTGTGCCATTTATATAAAAAATCTGTAGCAGTTTATCTTAAACAAGCAGCTGTTATCTACTAGAGTAATTGCCAATAAAATTAATTACTGCATACAATACCCTAACCTATATTTTGGAAAAGGCCCAAAGTAGGATGGCTTATGACCAGCTCAGGACCTTTCTTTGTCGCGCTTACAGGAGCCTCTTAGATACAACTGCAAAGACATAACAACAGAGCTATGGAGATGTGGTAGACCTCAAATACCTGAAGGCCAACATAAATTTTGGGTGGAACGTCCATGATACTTACTACTCCTTTAAATACATAGTGCCCCAGTATGCAGCTGGTAGATATACTATCGCTCCGTTTGCTTCATACTCATCAATATATTTCTACATAAACCAGGCCATGCAAGATAAAATTCCCTTCAGCACACACAATGCAGAACTGCTGCAGTCACTGCTCTGCAGTCATATTGCTCCTATTAGATGCAAAAAGCAAGCTTTTAATAGAAGCTGTCCCTCTTGTTTTAACAGGATTTCTAAAGCTAATCTATTTAGGAAACAAATATGTACATAAACAATACATAATTATGCCAGTGGTCAAGCTGCATTGTTAAACAGGGTCAAAAGAATGTAATAACCGGCTTGATCAGGCAAAAGTCCCACCTAGCCCAGCATAGCCTAGTCAGTAGAGAAAGAGATTCTCAGGGTCGTGGGTTGAAGACACGCATTGAGCCAAAGATTCCTGCATTGCAGTGGGTTGGTCTAAATGACCCTTGTGGTCCCTTCCAACTCTATGAAAATCCCATTATCACAATGTTTAAAGAAATGGCCATACAAACCCCATAAGCAGAAATCACAACAGTACTCTCCTCACTTGTTATTCCAAGCAACTGGTATTCAGAGGCACATAGCCTCCAAAAATGGATGTAGAACATAGCCTTATCCTCTATTAATTTGTCTAATCCTCTTTTAAAACCATCCAAGTATTAGTTCAGCCCTCTTGTAAGGTAAGCCTGCTTTACCATATTATTGTCCACCCTGTCTTCTATATTTGTAAGCAGCTCAATGGTACCCAGATTTACTAAGAAGTCCTGTCAGACTTTACATCATTTAAATCAAATCTTGTATGTTTCAAATTGCAGCCTTCACCTCTAACCTCAGATACCTTCTTGCTCCCCACATTTCCTCCACTGTTTTATCTTATTCTGTAATGCAGTTTGAATAAATGCTGAACAGCACAGTAACATAAACCTAATCTCTAACACAGGCAAACAAAAAGCTTCAAGCGCTGCAGAGCTGTACTTCATCTCATGACATGGGAATAACACAGATCAGCTGTTTTATTGTTTTGCTTTTACACCAACTAGAAGGGAAACACACAAATCTAGTCAGCATCAGCTGAATCAGTGGAGGGGGTCACTAGTATAATATCCCTGCCTAAGAGTTGTGTGTGTATATATATATGAAAAAACAGAAAGCTAGTTTAACATAGCAGCCAAGTGTGTGAACTTTATAATATAGCCAAGAAACTTTTGGCTCAAACGTAAGGCCAACCAAGAACTTACTGGCTGGTCTTAGGTACACTACTATCCTCCCATCCTCAGAATCTCACCTGCATTAGGAAAACGGAAGTGGTCCATCTTATAGGGCAGTTACAAGTCTTACTGAGATGTTATCGGAACACAGCAGCATTTTAACTTTATTTTCCAGGTTTAATAGCTAATATTCACGGAATGTGGGGGAGGAGGATAAAGTAATCAGCCAAAACTCACTAGAAGACTGTTTAAAAAACAGGTTGGTTTTTTTATTTTTTAAAAAAATCATTATTTTAAAGCACAAACAGCCTGCAGACATTTTTTACCTGAAACCAATGGCTAGACTGCACCATTGCTTAGGATGTTTCGCTGGAGGGGTCTGTTGCTGTTATTAACATCAATTCTAATTTTTATATATTAGTATGATTTATGCAGAAACTGTTCAGTTTGGCTGTGTACTTTTTATATGTTTTATTTTAACCAATTTTAAAAGGAAAGCTTAAAATGTTTCCTACTTGAGACCAATGGCTGGACTGCACCAATGGACTGGGGCATTTTTGTTGCGGGTTTGTTGCTTTAACTATCCTGCAGCTTGACCTCAACCCCAAATGCACCCTCCTCCATTGTCTTCTGAGATAGACAGATGCCAACAACAACTGATATAACTTTTTTCCTTTTTTTATATTGTTACGATTTAGGTGTCAACTGTTCCAAACCGGTTGTGTACGCAAAACTTTTCATCTTGTAAGCTGCCTCCAGACTGCTTTTAACTACGGAAAGGCGGTACAAGGGTTTGTGTGTCTGTGTGTTATTGGGTTGCTTTTACTTCGATTATATACATTGCGGTTTTATATTTTGAATTTGTTCTGCAAACCGGTATATAAATCCAGTAAACAAATAAAATACCCCCAAAATGACGATGGTGGTGAGCAAGATTTCATTTTGGCCCCCTTAAAAAGCGCCAGCCCCCACCCTACGCCTCCCCCTTGCTTTCCCAAGCCTGGCAACCAACAACGTTGCCTTTCCATCCAGCCCCCAACCTATGCCCCCCCCTTCCCCAACGTGACCCCCAAAGGCTGAGACCCAGTATTTCAAGGCCTATTAAACGGCCATCCCTTGCCTTACTGCCCAACCGCCCCACTTTCCCAAACGCGTGACCCCCCCCCCCCAAAAAAGGCTGATGGCGAGTAACATTTCATTTCAAGGCAATTAAACCGCCGCCCCCCAGCCCACTTTTCCCGGGGGGGGGGAGGCAGCAGTAAGGCCCCTCGCCCTCCTTCGTAAAGCCCCTCAGGTCTCTCTCTCTCAGGGCCTTCGCCGCTCCCCCCCCCGGTTGCCATGGCAACGAGCGGCCTAGGGAGTGAGGGGAAGGGGAAAACCCGGCGGTACCTTTTTCCTCCCGGCTCTCGGCCGCCATCGTTCCCCCCCCCCCCCCGGCGGAGGAAGAAGAACCGGCGGCGACGGCGGCTTTCTCTTGGAGGCGGAGGAGTATCGGGAGACGAGGAGGGAGCGGCGCAGCCGAAGGAGGCGAGGGAGGCGACGGGGAGGGCGATGGAGCCCCTTCAGGAGCTGCTCCCTTCAGGACGCCGAGCAAAATGGAGGCTCTTCCCCCCTCACGGCCCCGCCTCCTCCTCCCGAAAGCCCCGCCCCCTCCTTCCCGGCTTTATACTTCCTACGCGACAATTCCCACAAGGCCCTACGGAGCCCCTTCGGCGCGTGGCGTCACGGCGTACGCTCTCTTCTCTCTCTCTCGCGCGCGCGCGCGGCGTCACAGGGCGCGGCGCCGTTACCTCACGGCGTACGCACGCTCTCTCTCGCGCGCGCGGCGTCACAGGGCGCAGCGCCGTTACCTCACGGCGTACGCTCTCTTTTCTCTCGCGCGCGCGCGGCGTCACAGGGCGCGGCGCCTTTACCTCACGGCGTACGCACGCTCTCTCTCACGCGCGTGCGCGGGGGTGGGGGAAAAATGAAAAGATCACCATAGAGATAGAACGTACAGACGCGAGGTTGCGAAGGGTTTGAGGCGAGGTTCGAAGTCGCGTTCCGCCGCCGCCTCCTCGCCCTCGCTTCCCCCCAGGGCGTACAGAAAACAACAACCCGAACACACCGTAGAGCTACGAAAGGGTAGAGTGCGTCTACGGCTAGAGAAGTGACAAAGAGATCCGATAGATAGATATATGGATATCACCATAGAGCTAGAAAGTGGAGCGTGCGCGACCGGAAAGAAGAGGAGTTTCAAGAGGACTGGAGGAAATTTAAGGACTATTTGAATAAATATTGTAATATAAAAAATTAGAAATTACTTTGAAAGAAAGAAATAGGCCTACGATTAAATAAATGGGATTTAGAATGTTAAGAAAAGTGAATAAGATGGACTATAATTGGAAATTGTTTTAGTTTAATAATGGTATTGGAAAGCTGTTACTTTTAACTGCAAGGAAACTCAGAAGGGAGGGATTTGAGGAAGTCAACCAAGATGTTTAAAAGGTTGGATTTGTGAAGAATTAAGTTTGTTGTTATTGTTTATCTGTTTATTGTTTCTTTTTTCCTTCTTTTTCTGTTTCTGTGTATTATTCTGCTTTGTGGTTTGTGTTATCATTGTGGAAAATCTAATAAAAAATAATAAAAATAAAGTGTAGAGCGTGTATATAGAGCGATAGATAGCCTGGGAGCCAACTCCCCCAATAAAATATTTGAGGGGGCCACTCCCCACCACCAGCTGATGCACATTGGCATTCACATGGTGTGTGCGCACAGTGTCATGTGGTTGGTGATGTGGGGCGGGGCTTACCTGAGGCCACACCCCCACCCCAATATCTTAATTCACGTTGGCACCCCTGAGGGAGATGGAGAGCTAGAACCATAGAGCTAGAATCTGAGTGGCTTCAAACAAACATAAAAAACACAATAAAACATTAAACCTTCTGAAGGTTCCCTTTACAAGGCTGCCTTTGGATGGATTCTTCTTTTTATATATTTATAAATTTATTGTTATGTACTGAGTTGAATAGGATCCAAAAGGCAGCAGTCTGATTGGTCCTAGAACAATAGGATTCCGAATACAGCAGTCTGCTTGGTCCTAGAACAATAGGTTCCAGAATGCAGCAGTCTGATTTGTCCTAGAACAATAGGATTCAGAATGCAGCAGTCTGATTGGTCCTAGAACAATAGGATCCAGAATGCAGCAGTCTGATTGGTCCTAGAACAATAGGATTCAGAATGCAGCAGTCTGTTTGGTCCTAGAACAATAGGATCCAGAATACAGCAGTCTGATTGGTCCTAGAACAATAGGATCCAGAATGCAGCAGTCTGATTGGTCCTAGAACAATAGGATCCAGAATGCAGCAGTCTGATTGGTCCACAGGAGCTACCCAATCCAGCTCGAGGTGGAAGGGAATCCGCAACCTCATTAGCTGCAGGAGAATCCCGGAATTAGCCAATCACATGGGGCCCATTGTGTAAACAATGTACATAAAGCAGACATTCTGGGGAAACTTCCATTCCTCCTCACCACTATGAGCTGAATAAAGAGCATGAAATCCACTCTCGACTCCGAGTATATTTCATTTATTTATTTGGTTTTTCAGATTAAAGTTTTACATATCCAACATGCAACATGCAAGCAAGATTCCGAAGAATCTCCTGGACTTTCCTCTTCCTCTTTGTGGGCCCTGTTGTAAATCATTTCCTCCTGCATCTTTTATAATCATCCAAATCTTTTACATCTCCATTATATCCAGAATTCACCATTGAACTCAGTGCCGGAGTTACGCGTAAGCTAAACAAGCTATAGCTTAGGGCCCCGTTCTCTTGGGGCCCCCTGTGATAGGAATTTTGAGGTCTTAGATAGATGTTAAATGTTCATAAGTGTACCAACCAAGCACATACATAGATCAGCACAGGAAGACCGACCTGGAACCATTTTGATTCCCAAACTGTCCTAAACTGACCAAATGTTTTCTCTGCAAGGTCAAGGAAAATGAAAAAGCCTCCCCATTGTCCTTTCCTTCACAAATCCTGTCTTAAGGGTATGTCTGTGTTTGAATAGGGTGTGAGCCTGTGATCTGGCCCAGGAACTAAGTATTTATCATTACAAAAGACTGGCCAGGCTCCCCAAGCAATCCAATCAAGTAACCTGCCAGACAGGAGATAAACAACGAGAGGAGAAAAAAAAACATTTAAATTTCTGTTTTAGACCGCCTTTTCTGTGATGTAGGTATGATGTATCTGGGGTGGTGGTCTTAGGTTACACCCCTTCTGTGATGTATGCATGATGTTTCTGGGGGTGGTCTTGATCTACAGGGTGGCAATTTCAAAAGTCCATATAAGGCCTTGCACGCCATTGTTCTGGGTTCCTCCTCCTTTCCTGTGGGTGAGGGGAGCACCCTGTTGCAACAGATCAATAAAGATCAAGCTCACTAGCTGCTTTGCTTCTCAATATTCTCTGGTTGGCCTCTGTTATTTTCTCCTACCAATAGGGAACCTACGTAAGGACTCTATGGGCTCTTGGATACCCCGTAAGGGAAAAAGAGCAATTTTTGTTTACAACACCCCAAAAAATTGATTGTGGGAAACTGGATGTACATTTCCAAAATATAAGATAAAAAACAAATAAAATAAAACCAACATATAGCAACAGTGGCAAATGGCTTTAGATACCTATTAGGTCCATAAATTAGCATATAGCATAACAGAAAACAGCGACAATTTGTTGTTGACAAAGGACAGCTGGACATATAAAGGGCCCCATTACCTTCAGGAGCTTAGGGCCTCATCAAACCCAAATCCGGCCCTGATTGAACTACAAGTGTTATTGCCTTCAGATCTCTTCTAAAGGGCACAAGAGGGCTTTGCTGAGGATGGTCACGTGCTACTCACCTGAGAGGGGCAGGCGCTCCTAAAAAAAGCGGGGGGGGGGGGGGAGCCCAGATTACACCACATAAAATGGGATTATGAGGAAAGGAAGAGCAAGAAACAGTTTGAACCTGGACTTCATCATCATCATCATCATCATCATCATCATAATATTCCAGCCCTTTGTTCCTCTGAATGGGTGAGGGAGTGAGATAATGGAAGGGTCAACTCTCAGCACGTCTAGGAGCAAAAGCAACCGTTATGTACTGAGTGGAATAGGATCCAAAATGCAGCAGTCTGATTGGTCCTAGAACAATAGGACCCAAAATGCAGCAGTCTGATTGGTCCTAGAACAATAGGATCCAGAATGCAGCAGTCTGATTGGTCCACAGGAGCCACCATTCCAGATCCAGGTGGAAGTGAACCCGTCACCTGATTGGCCTACAGGAGAATCCCGGAATTAGCCAATCACGTGGGGCCCATTGTGTAAATAATGTATATAAAGCAGACATTCTGGGGGAACTTCCATTCCTCCTCCTCACCACTATGAGCTGAATAAAGAGCATGAAATCCACCCTCGTCTATGAGTATATTTCAGCAGCAATACTGCCTTCAGCTTCCTCTCCCTGATCTTTCTCCAGGGCAGAGATGAGGTTTCTACCCTAAATCCAAGTCGTGCTCTGCTTAGGGTACAGTGGTGCGTTGCCCTTTTATCATAGTGCTGCTGTCCTTATGAAATTTAGCTATACCTAAGACCTGTTGCTGCCTAGGAAATTTGCACAGTGCAGAATTCGGCGCTAGGTGGTGCTACAGCCACAGGTCCCGGTACAATGCGGCGCAGCCACTCCGGGAGGTTAACCTAAGAGTGAATGAGAAGCAACAGAAATGAGGAATGCAGGAAAAGGCGACTTTGGCTGCTCTGTCCCTACTTAACCCTTGCAATATCTCGCCCCTTGCAAAGTCTACCCATGCTTTGTCTACACCTGAAAGCAACTACATATACAGCATTACCATTGTCCAGATATCCGGCCCCTATCACTACCTTTTAGTAAACTTTTTTTCTTTTTTTCTTTGCTAGGTTATAAGGCAGTTTGACACACTAAAAAATGCAGTATCACTGTGATCCCAGCTGCCCGCCATATTGCTTTCCCAGAGGAAGCTATGCATATAAATGAGCATATGCAAACTTTATGCAAGTTCCTGTCCCAGGGCAGTGCCCTGAGTGCTTTAAGTAGCTAGCAAGCGCCCAGCAAGCGCTAGATTTAATATTCCCTGGTTGGATGAAAAGGGTTGGGAGAGCTGGCTGTGGGCGGTTGTACGCTGTTGCTCTCACACAAAATCTCCATGTGCTCTTTCCCATAACATAGCCTTTAAACGTTAAATATCAGGAGTGAGCCAGCAGTAAATCACACCATGTCACTCGGAGTTAACTCTCTTTTTTAAAAGCAAAAATGCAGTCTGCACAGGAGTGTCAGGCCTAAGGAGCACAGTCTCCTCCTCTCCAGGGTGTCGCCCCCAAAAACAACAACTGGAGACTGTGCCTGGATGCCTGTTTTGCTCCTCCCATTTCATGCCTCTTCTGGTTCTGGGGGACAAACAGGGAGAGGAGACACCCATGACTCTTTACCAGCCTGACTCATCTCTGCCCTGGGAGTGGCCGCCAGGACCACATAACACTGGTCCTGAGAGATCTGCATTGGCTCCCAGTACGTTTCCGAGCACAATTCAAAGTGTTGGTGCTGACCTTTGAAGCCCTAAAAGGCCTCGGTCCTGTAGACCTGAGGGAGCGTCTTCACCCCCATTGTTCAGCTCAGACACTGAGATCCAGCGCTGAGGGTCTTCTGGCAGTTCCCTCCCTGCGAGAAGTGAGGTTCAGGGAACCAGGCAGAGGGCCTTCTTGGTAGTGGCTCCTGCCC